ATAATTCTTTGCAGGTAAAAACAGTCACATTGCTACATGTCTTTATCATTTACTTTGGTATAAATACCAAAAAATATAACTTAATCTTGGGATCTTTTTTTTTTTTTTTGCAGTGAATTCTGAAATTTTTTACATAATACTTTTCTTTCCACAGAAACAACAATACGTGTTTGGCTCCTACCTTCTGAAGAGCAAAAGGTAACATGCTGCTACAGTAGCAACTATGGTACAAGCCATTTATTTTACCCAACAATGACTGGGAGCCCCTCATTTCCCTCTGACAGATGGAGGGGACCAACCATAAAGCAGGAGAAAAAATCATTAAGTCAGCCAAAGCCCTGCAGAGTTGTTTTAATTGTGTGCTCTGGAGCTGTAGGCATAGCTTACCTGATTGCTGCTATAACTAACTGCCCTCACAGAGACAGACGAGATCTTCTGTGGACGTTTAGAAAGTGATTTGTGTTCAGAAGGTTCCTTGGGGAGAGGACAATGTGGAGAGATAGAGAGGCGAGGAACGAGGAGATAGTTCTTCACAGGGTGAGCAGATTGGATACTCACCACCGGAGAGAACCTTGTCCAGCAGGAGAGGTTCAAGCACCTGGCTAATGCTTTCATGGCTCATAATTTACAGCAGGCCTGCCACTGTGTATGGTTAGCATTGTCAGTGTGACACCCTACAGAGGTCTGCGCCTATGGTCCCGACCTTCTGTGTGTGTTTCACACAAGCCACTCATTCAAATCAATGGCCTTTCAGCGGCAACGCTGCTGCGCTTGTGTATCAATCATTGAATAAAGCTGAGCAACAGAAGAACGTGAGCACACACACAAAGTGCCGGATTATAAACCATCATAAAAGCATTTATTTGATGCACGCACAGTTATCTGTACGAGGAAATACATTCACTCAGCCAGGCGCAGATTGACAAAAGGCAGCGAGATGGGCAGAAAGACAAACCTGCGCACAAACACCTCGAGTGATGCTTTGACAGGTTGGGTAGGATGTACATTCTCCGTCTTATGCAAAAAGGCATAGCAAATGCTGCTACAGAAGACAGTCTGCCAAGACTTCCCACTCTGACTGACATACAAGCTAGTAAATCAATCCACTTAAAACAAGCTTTATTTTAAGCTGCTAAACACTAGGTTGTGCCAGATAACTTTGCCATCAGACCTTAAAGCTTCACAGTCTGCTGAGGTTCTCCTAAACATTGCAGACAAACAACTGCTGCAGCACAACATAACAGACAACAATGCCAGCATTTCCTCATTACAGAAGACTTTTCAAAGCTGCTTCAGCTGCTATGTTAATAATCCATATCCATTTTTTAAATTATAAATGACTTCTTCGCCTCCACCCAGCCACAGTACCATCAGTCCACCCAGCCCTGGGCCCGGTACAGCTGTATATCGCAGCTGTATAGGCAGCCAGTCATCTCAGAGCAGTATAGATTATGCTCCCTCATCCTGCATTTCTCTCAGCCGGTTTAACAGCGAAAACAGTTAATCTTGTCAAAAGAGACTCTTAATAAACTCAGCGGGAAGCCCAGTCTTTCCCTCAGCAAGAAACAAATGTGGTTTACAGCAGCGATGATATGCAGCGTCTACTTTGAAGCTCTAATATATGTTTATACATAAAACTCAGTGATCAGTCATGCACAGAAAAAAAAAAAGAGAGCAAAACAAAGATGGAGACGCAATATCGGAATTGGTGCCAATTTACTGAGTTTTGACAACAGCTATCGTTATCACAAAATAAATGATGAGGTATAGTGACTTCACAGCCATTTGCTGCATTTCAGAGTAGAACATATATTTTACTGGGAGATTAAATATTAATCTAAGTATTACGAGGATGTGAATGGAAGATGTGACCACTCATGTAAATGTGTGTCAAAGTGTCCATTTTCTTCAGTCTTTTTCACCCCCGCTCCCCCGTCTGGCACAAGAGCCTACGGTGCTCTTTGGTGTGTGACGTTACAGGTGGAGGCAGGTGCATCAACAGAGTGTCAGAGAGACTTACTTGTACTCTTCCTGGGTGAAGATCGGGATGCGAGAAGGCTGAAGAACTGTGATCTCCACCAAAGTACTGTTGGTCTTCACCGGTTCCCCATCATCAAAGGCGATCAAAAACAACTATAACGGGGAAGAGAACACGTGTAAGCACACCTATGTAAATGCGCGACCCATTTTTTATTAACCGTACTACTAGTTACGACACAAACAATTCCTTTTTTGAGCTTGCCAGCCATTTTTTGGGGGCACGTTTGGCATCCTAATAAAGACAGGCTGGCAGATAGGATCTGGAGAGCAGCCTCCAAAGCTCCCTGCGAGCGAATATGAATGTATTGATCTACATTCATAGACTGTGGAGAATGGGACTTGAGGAAGCAGGGGTAGGATAGCAGAGAGGGAGAGAAACACAGTAAGGAAAAAAAAAGGAGAAAAAAGAAAGATAGGCAAGAGATAGGATGACAACATCAGAGTGTAGCGACACACGAGGACATAGTATCTGTAGCATCTGCTCCAGTGTTTACATCCATATGTATACCTACACAAGGTCACCTTAAATGAGTAACAGTGTCTTATGTAAGTGCCTGGAAGGGTATTTATTTAATCTATAAGAAAACTCAATATTACTGCTCACAGACACGAAAGAAGCAATGACACGATTACTGGGAACAGTCACGTTGAGAATGCTCCACAAATGTTCTTTGATTTTAAAGAGTCAATATGTATGCATTTCTGATCCGCCGATATCCACAGCAACTTAGGAAACGTAGATCAATTAACAGAAAATATGATAGTAGCTAGTGTTCATTTTGTGAAAACACGTCCTGATTCTTGCATTTATGAAATGGAAACTGGCTATAAACATGTTATCATTATGAACTCTATATGTAAATTTGTTGCAGCTTTTAGAAGCTGATATTAATATTTCTGTGGAGACGCTTTTATTTAAAAAGTTTAACATTTGTCATTTTAGCAAAATCATCGGCTTTTGCACATACTTTCCACCAATCGTTCAGTAACAAGTACAGACGTGTACAGTGTAGAAAATATAACCTTACATTTCTCACTGACAAATTTAAACCAACATTGTTGTTTAGTGTCAAAGCTCTCTCCACCACTCCAGCCATATGTTATGACTATAACTCAGATTGCTTGGATTCCCCGAGAGCTCCCTTAAGCATCAGTTTCAATAAAACCGTGTAACCTTTAACTGACAGAGTAACATAAATACCTGGGAAGCAACTCACTGACACTTCAGGCGGAAATGGCTTAACACAACTGTAATCACTGGCGCTCACCTTAAAGGTGACACTGGGCTCTTCATTGAGGTTGACCCTCGTGATGACTCTTCCACTCTCCTCCTCCACATCAAAGATGCTGCCACTGTACGGTGACCTGTCCAGGTCCACTCTGTAGCGGACAAAACTGGCTGGAGTACCCTGCAGGGAGGAGGGGAGAGAACATAAACCACATCAGTCCAATAACAACGTACTCGTACTCGCAATGGCTTTCATGCATTTAAATAAAACGGCAAAAGATGGTGAGAGTCCTTTAAAATGCATGCGAACCATAAGGGTATAGCAGCATTGTTTGATTATATCTTACATTTTTGAACTTATACAGCTGAAGTTGTTCATGAAAGAAAAGGTTCCTCTTCTCTCTGTGATCCTGAAAATTATCTTAATGTCTCTTGTCGTCCTCTCATCGATTTTAACAATTCTTAGCTTGTCATATCCCCCATTAGTCGGTTCCTCATCAGACATCCTTAAATACACTCCCTGTTATTCATTGATTCAAACCTATTCCTTTCATTTGAGAGAAAAAAACTTCTCCATTAAATTCATTCCTCTAGTCTCCAGCGTAATACACTTGCATTCATTAGTGGCAGCCTGGACTTTAATGTGACCCTTTGATTAAGATTAATCACGGTTCCTGATTACTAATCATCTCTATGGCTTATCTTATTCCAGTTTCATCCCTTTGGACCTCAAATTCAGTCTGATTTTTAATAAGCTTTTTGGAGCTGTGCTCCCTTGCCTGAACTGATTCTACTCCCCAGGGACTGGGTAAAACCTGGGGCTAGAGAGAGAGAGAGAGAGAGAGAGGGAGAGAGAGGTAAATCCTGAAGTGGCACTGGATCTCTGGGGAGGCTTACTACCACAAATGCGACTATAAGAGGTTGCAAAACTATCTGAGTGAATTCACTAAGGGGATTTTCAGGAAAAAAAATAATCTAATCACTAAAAGCGTCTCAAGTTGTTTTCTAAACTGTAATGGAAAGGATGGCAGATCAGAATCATTAATAAAAAACACTTCCCAGAAAAAAATCGAATACAGTGGCTTAAAAGTGGTAAAAGTGTTTTGCTCGAGGCGAACCATACGTACGAACAAACAAACACACAACTTGGGTCTTGTCTGCATGCACATGGGTACTTTCTACTGACTGGACTTTTCCATGCATGTTGGCCTTTTGTCCACATACAAACAGTTGGACTTGACAAAAAAAAATGACCTTTTGTTTCTTCCAGGTTTAAAATATTCAGATAATCTGTTTGCAGTGTTGATGTGTAGACGTGAACACATCAGCATGTGTGTCCTTTGTCCACATGAGGCATTTTCTGGCAATGTGGAACGTGACTAAAATATTGCTGCCGATTAACTTGCAAAAAGGATTTTTTACATGTTTACACATAAATTATATTGAGGAATAACTCTTAGTATTGTTGGTAGCCTATCCTGGTAATAGCTTTTTTCAGGCTTGTGATGGTCTTGACAGCACTTCGATTGTGTTTTTGTGAGTGTGGATGAGATTTTTTTTAGTATAAAAAGGAGTAAAAAAAAAAATAAAATAAAAAATTGTTTTAAAAAAAACCCGACATATACATGCCGACAAGGCCTTAGCAACAGCAGCCAGCCCCTAGTTCTGACTTGTATCATTAGATGCCTGTCGATACCCATATTTAACTTAGCTCTACCATATCAGGACCATACTGGATAAAAGCAAACATATGACACTGGAAAATAATAAGACAGATGTGATGTCCCCTGCTCTCTCCTGTCAGTCTGCCTTTGTTTCAGGTGCCTGGTAAGTGCAGCAGGGATTGCGGTTGCCAACTGGAAATACTTGCTATTTCCCAATCTATAAAGCTTTGGGCTGCTGCTTGCACTTTTTCTCTCTACTTGGCAAGCAGCTGTACGGCTACACTGGTATAACTCCTCTTTAGTTCTTTTCTATTTACTCTATTTTTTGGCATCTTACAACATTTACCCACTATGTCCACTCTGAAGTCACCCTAAACTGCTCCACTGAACCTCACGCACCATGAGTTTTGGTATTTTAAGCAATATCAGTTTGCTTAATAAATTAGCGGCTGCTAAAAAAATGGTGATTCACTTTGACATGGTCTTATGAGCCAGGCCGTGACACAATACAGTTTTATACTATATCTTGTACTTTCTTGAGCAGGCTGCACAATTTCAATGTGATTTGTGTTTCCACACACTGACTCAGAAATGATGAATAAAACCGAGTCGAGTAGTCAAGTGCAGTGTAGTTACAGCAACATTTTAACTTGTCTCTGTCTACAGACGTTTTCGGCTGTACAACACTTTCTTCTGTGGCATTCTACTCACTGGCTATGAATATTTTACGTCCACTCCTGACGTGAACTCACTCTGTCATTAACATTGCAGACAAGCACCAAAAATTGTAGACATACGGTACTCAAGCAAGAAAAGAAAAAAGAAAAACTCCCTTGTAGCTAGTCAGAAACGTTTCAACTGTAGTTGCTAAATGCAGTTTTTGTTTTGTTTATATTATATATTTTTTACATAGGAATCTGATTCTCTACAATATAAAACAGCCAGCTCATAAAATAAAGAATGATCTCAGAAGCACTGGGAAGCATTGAATGTTGCCTAAAAGACACAACAGCACGGCTTGAGCTGAGAGTGTAGCGAAGCCAATCCATCGATATGACTTACTTTGAGAAATTTACGAATGATTGATTTCATTTGCAAATGACTACAACGCTGCAGAGGAAATGGGAAACGCTGAGAGCATCCTGCGATGAAGCAAACTGCACGAGAAAACTTTGGTCTTCAGTCACAAATAACAGACAGCTCAAATCTACTGCTGGTGAATAAATGTTCTCGCTAGAACATTTGTATCCATGGTGATCTCCCCTCTCATTCAGGGTGATACTGACATTAATTTCAGGGGCTTGAGTGGCATGCCCAAAAAAATATATATAGTTACTTTCTAAAAGCCATTAGTATCCCCTCTCTCAAGATACAAGTGGACAGATATAACACCTTCTTCACAAAATGTACAAAAAAGAAGTACTTCATCAAGAATGTTCTAAACCATTAGGACACTCAGACAAAATATGCATCCCTCACATGTCGCATCAATACTACAAGAGTGTTCCTCTCTTTCTTTCTTTGTGTGTGCAGGTTTTTATTTTTTTTTTGAGCCTGTGTAACACAAAGGGAGTGTGTGCGTGTTGTGCACACTTTTGTTTGTGTATTTAGCACGCACCAGACTAAAGCTCTCCTCCACCAAACAGAGGTGTCTATGACAGGCATCCTGTCAATAAAATGCTTTAAGCTTCCATATCCAGGTCAATAAAAGACTGGGTTAGTCGGCTCCTGTTAGGAAGTCTAATCCCCCTGTCTGTCAAACCATTTCCTCGTGTCACTCCCATGCTTTACATGCTGCCGCTGTGCTCATGGTAACATAATGATGATTTCTTATTTGTGCTTCGGCGCGGCTGGATGTGTTCTACTGTACCGAAAATCCCGTTTGAGATCACGAGAGAAAGGCTAAAAAGAATGATTTTTTGGAGTTGCAGGGAGACGGGGGGGAGGGGCAGGAAAAGCAGGAGGAGGGAGTGTCTCCCTCTGAGAGAGAAAGTGAGATGTAGAGCTGTCACTGTGACATTCTGGAGATGTTCTACCACCCACAGCCGCAACTGACAGGCATCCTTATCCCTCAGAGTGTGTGTAAGTGCTGCCAGGAGAATACAAGCTTATCCGGCCCTGGTGAGATTCCACCAGCAGGAGGGCCTCTAATAACAAGCATTGAGTCCAGCTTTATAGGGCCTCTCTGAAAAAAAAGCGCATTCAGAGCTGGAAGCTGTTAGGGTACCGAGAAATTCGTATTTATGTGGAAATTTAAAAATAGAAGACTCAATGTGCTCTAACAGAAGAATGCGGTTTGGTGAAGTGTCCATTAAAGGAAATATAAAGCACAAACAAAACCGAAAGTTCCCAGGACAAGCAGGTCGTGAGAGGTAAAGGAGTGCAAGGAAACAGGATGCTGTGTGGGGCAACATGTAGACGACTCAACAGGATCCCCTTATAGCTAAAACTAATGATGTGGATCGAACATGCACACGGTGCTGTAGCTCTAATGAGAGGGCCACACTCTTGAAAACATCTTTAAAATGCATTGTGTGAAACGCTATAGTGCAAAATTCGCTGACATTCTGGCAGCAACATGTGGCGAGAAGAACATTTTATTTTTCACCAATGTTGTATACGTTGCATATTTTAAGTATGCAAGCGTTGCTCATACTCACCGGTGGGTCTCGGTCCTCAGCAAAAACAGTCGTGATGACTGTTCCTTTCTCTGCATTGGGGGCCACCATGCCTTTATACAGGTCTTGGCTGAAGATGGGGGAGAAGTCATTCATGTCCTAAAAGGAAAAAAAACAGATTAGCAGTTAATGTGTTGGTGAGTTTCGGAGCTGTGGCCTTTGTTTTTATATTCTAACATTACAGTTATACAACAATGTACAACACTATCGTCTCAGCATTCAAAAGGTCAAATTAATTTATCAATATATTCTAATATGACTTTTGCAAATGCTGTCTGCATGCTGAATAAGTAATTCTGTAGCAGTGCTGCTGTTGCTACTTACTACAGCGTTGTCATCACACATAACCATATACTCTAATCACATCAGTACAGTTAAACATATTACAACCATATATAAAAAAAAGCAGTACAAAGTTATTACTGTGGCTTGCTGACAACGGATGATTTCAGCGCGTTAATTAAACCAATGCAATGTTTTATATTTATAAGCTTGTGTCAACTTATTGGTCTTTATTCAGAACACTTAATTAAATTGTGATAAAACTCTAATCTTGCAGAAGCTGTGAAATTTAATGTCTCATAGTTTAGAACTTTTACTTTGTGTTTGGTTCATCTTTACTGATGCACATTACACTGCATAGTAACCTGATGACTGCAGGGACGTAGATGAGCTTATTGTCACTGCCAAATAAAGTAATTGTTTAAGGGTTTGGTTTCACAATAAAAATATTTTATCCTCTCAAGATAACGGTGCTGAAATCTTAAGGTTTCTTATGGCACAATGACATCAGATCACAATGAAAACCACAAGTTTACTGACCAATAAATCAATAGAAGCACCGTGTAGATTTTGTGTAATCTGATGTTTTATCTGTGAGATCATTCCTTAAACCGAGCAACAAGCACTGAGACATAAACACTCACAGAACGCAGCAAATGAGAAAGCTGACAGGTTGCTATAACAATATATGATATATGAAAAAGACATTCCGGTACTGGCCCCACAACAACAAGACTAATGAGATAAGGACGCAGTGTTCACAACATTTCTCATCTCTTCTCCACTTGAAACCTCCTTTAGGCACTGAAACAGTTTTGTTGGTATTCCGTGATTTACTGCTCCCCAGACACATGTGAGAACTTCAGCACACCACAGCATTTAATCATCTTCTCTTAGTAAATAATGCACCATCAGAGCTCCACCACATTGTGGGTCTGCAAAGAAATGAAACCTTGTTAACTGCGCAACCCTGGCTTTGCTGTGTGAGAATGAAAACTCAGTAAGCCATTCACATATCTCTCAGGAATAACTTAACTCTACAGTAGAGCAGCTGGGACCTGATCTTCATCTCTCTTGAGTTGTCTCTTTACTTTCCACTGTTTTGGCTGAGCCATGGGCAACAGTATGTGTTCTATAAAGTCAGTGGTGGAGGGCAGCCTCCCTTTGATCTATACACAGGTTTAGTGTTTCCTAGCAGAAAATCTATGATCCAGCTCTTGCTTTGAACAACAAAACCTGATCCTTGTGCTGCAAGACTTCACAGGGATGCTGTGGACTAAATGCATGCACACACACACACACACACACACACACTTGTGTTGGCTTACAATATCCATGCGCTACATGTCCAGATACATACAGCACTTTATTTGTTTAACAATGCACACACGCCCACATTACCACAGACAAAGACGTGCAGGGTGACATTTCTGAAGTGAAGAATAGAAGAAAAAGTTTGGGAGACTAATTTGGAACAGCAAGACAAGCAGGACACTCAATCCATCACAGCAAGGCATACAATAAAAGAGACAACATCAAAACAATATGAGGGAAAATCTAACAAAAACAACTTCAAATAACTCTCTGGAGGTGTTATAAGAGGAAGGAAGTGGAATGAGTGGAATCAACTCCATCTCCAGTCCCCTAGAAGCCTGATGAATCCATTAGGCTCATTCTAAGTCATGTCTGCCATTTCAAATGGCAGATATAGGTCCGACATCAGTGGCTGTGCAAAGCCTTATCCTATCAAACAGAGTTCCTGGGTGACAGCACAAAGAATGCAACAAAGCTCGCTCTTATCAGAGGACAAACTCACTCTACAGGTTGGCAGACCATGTGGCGAGCCTGCTTGAATAAGCTTCGATACTTCCTCCCATTCGGTGTAATACAGAGTTTAATTCTGCCGACTTTGACACAGTCACTAGGGGTGGACTAAATATTCATAAGCAGCGATAAATGTGCGCACATTTTGAAGAATTACTCAGAGTGAAAACACACAAACACCCATGCATACACACATGAATGGTGTCGCAACACAGGGCGTTTAATCCTTTTGTTGGGATTCAGCAGTTAATCTCTTGAAAAGGGAACACAAGCTCCTGAAAAACCTGACATAATTGCTGTCACAAAGCTAATGAGTCATTCAGAGCTGGAATAGCTCTGTGTGCAATGCAGAAACACCTATCCATCAATTCTCCTCTCCTTGTGATGCTGTGAGGATGCCCAGGTCGCGAGGCCAAGATGCCTTTTACAAAGAAAATGCAATCAGCTTTTGCAATGAATGGCAGAAAACTGAATTTGGTATCACAATAGCAGTGCAGGTGCAACACTGTAATAGGTCTCCCTTTTGAATTGTGGCTTACGCAAGCTGTTACTACTGTAAAACTATGCTAATGACTCACCACATATTCACTGCCAGTGCTGCCCCTCCAGAGGGGTAATGAGGATGGCTGAAAAGACAATGGACCACTGAGAGGTTGTGGTAGACTGGCTATCTGCGGGGCTCTTACCGTAATGCGGACCGTGACTGTAGCCTGTCCCGGGGGCATAACCCCTCCTTGGTCGACAGCCTCCACCTGGAAAGTGTAAGAGGTTCCCATGCCCATAGCTGCCAGGTCCTCAAAGTCCAGCGTCTGCAGCACAGCTAACTCCCCCGTGACAGGGTTCAGAGAAAACAGCAGCCTGGCTGATTCAGTCTTGATCCGATATGTGACATTGGAGAAGAGGTCTGAGTCCACCGCCTGGGAGAAGGACGACGAAAAGGACAGGGATGAGTACATTAAAGACAACAGAGGTCATGAGTGTAAAGAGAAGAATGTGATGAGAGAGTAAGAGCATCGAATTTTATTCTTAAAATTGGAAGCGTACATACAGACACATAAGCTGGTGGGTATAGGCTGCAGACAATGAATATTAATGCTTCTGTTTTAATTTTGCATTTTTATGCTGCAGGGGTTATTTACATCAATCATTAATCAGGTTCTGATTAAATTAAACCACTAAGGGAAGTTTAAGTTCATTGCATTAAATCACAAGTCTCCAAGTGGATATAATTGCGAAGGCTACTGCAATAGAAGACGATTACATTCAGTATACAGACGCCGAATGCATATTACTGTTAGGATCCAACCGGTACATGGACACACACACATAATCTTCCTCACTAAAAAAGCTATGAGTTTTGCAGGTATTAGGAGCATCAATGTCTGTGTCAAGTTTCTGCTGGAGGTGATCACAAAGATGTTTCACTGACGAGGTAGATACCTTTGACATGCTGGTATTGTTAGAGAGTGAAGCACCAAACTCAGTACAATTGTCCAAGCTTGAAAGTCTTAAAACAAAAAAGCTCTCAGTGGAGGTAAAGAAAAAAAAACAACAATAGAGAATCACCAAAGTCGGTATATTACATCCTCTGGGTTAGCTGGACTGAGCAACCCACCAACATTGTTATCCCTATGCCACCAGCTGGCAAGGCTGAAAAGCTAGAACACTTCCAGGTATGGGCAATATCTTTTAATCTACCTATCTCGGCCACTTTCTTCTCTGTGTGAGGTTAGAAAGTGGGAGAGACTCTGGCCTATTCGATTTTGCTCTTTAGCTGCATTGCCTGCCACCCCTGTCCGTTTAGAGTTGAGGCATCGTCGTCGAGGAGATTAATAGTGTCACGGTGCCACTGTCACTCACACCCCTCACCCTCAGCCCCCCTACCTGCAGCTTCTTCCTCAGCCTCCCCTCTTGCTGTATCCCTCTCTGGGAGATGTCACTCACTATATGGCAGCAATTACTCACCCCCTCTGCTCGTGTTTGCGCCGCACACACATTGTTTCCCTATACTTCGCTTTACACATGCACCAACATTTGGCAACATAGAAACTATAATTAAGTCCAACAATTTAACAAAAGTTATTCAAACACGTGTGGCGCAATATACTAATGTTTGTCAGGAAAGAAGGAAACAACAATCCTCTCCCAAAGCCTGCTTATTACTTGAGAAAAACAGCTTTAAGTATTTTTCTGTCTAAAAATGCCCAGGGAGCTGTCAATGCAGGAGGGGGAAAAAAAAATAAGTTTCTCTCTGCTGGTTGCATGTTTCTATCTGTGCAAATGTGTCTGTCTGCAAGCGTTTGACATTTTAAACACTAAAGTGCCAGCCCTTGAAGTTAAAAGATGCTAAAAACCTGTTAGTACAAGGGCCTACACAATATAAAGAGACAGGAGACATAAAGAGATGGAGGGAAAAAAAAAAAGGAGACAACAAGTTGGGGAGTAAACAATTGCACATTTAGGCTCTTACGCTTAGCTTCAAGATCACTGTTCCCACGGGGCTGTTCTCTGGCACGTTCACCACGTAAGTCGGCTGGGAGAAGACCGGGCTGTTGTCGTCGATGTCGGTGACCTCGACGGAGAGGGTCAAGGTGGTCCGTCGCGGGTCAACCGCCCCGTCAGAGGCCTCGACCACCAGCTCATATTGGCTTCTGAACTCCCGGTCAAGCGGCACCCTGGTGTAGATGCTTCCATTAGCGCCGATTATAAACAAGTCAGGATGATTCACAATCCGGTAGTGCACCTGGCCATTTACTCCGGCGTCTGGATCCGTGGCCTGTGGAGAGAGAGAGAAAATGATCCGAGGGCTCAGTTTTGGGAAGACTGATGATAATCTCCTAGAAATACGCAAAATATTAAAACCTGGGCAGCTCCTCCTTGTGAATTAACTGCTTAAATTAAATCTTTAGTTTGGGTGATTTGTTGTGTGATACTAGTCATTTTTAACCAATCACAATTCAATGCTGCCAACCTCTTAAAGGAAGTAACTCAACTACAATGACCACAATTGATTGCAGCAGCGTATCTGCACTTGTTTGAGCGGTTGTCTGCACCGACGCAAGCCGAACAGAGAGACAGTGTGAAATATAGCCGAGATAGTCAGATGGAAGCATAATAGTCGGCTAATGTTATGTTAAATGAAACGTCGATAAAACGTCTTCAGCAGACCTCTTTTTTATTCTCGAGGCTGCTCGAGCACCTGCGGGAAACATCCAGAATCCATTTACATGCGGTTTATCAATAAGAGAAGAGAAAATAAATATTCACAGAGATAGGGCATATGAATAACAGATTTAAAAGTAAAATGCATAAGCGTTTCAAGGCAAACAGCAGCTGTTGTGAGTTTGATCCATTACATGATCCATTAGAGCTTGGCTTTATCTTAACGCCTTGCAAATTTACAGAGGTTTCAAGCACAAAGCCGCGTGAGCTACAGTGCCAACAGCCGCGCCAAAATAACTCTCCGACGTCTCATTTCTTGTTCTGCATATTGAGATTAGAGTCTGCCACAAACTCATGAGTAATCATTCGGGAGTTCAAAAGACCAGAACACCTTTTCGTGCAAACTCTGCATTTCATCAAGGTTAAATCGCTGAATGCCAAACAACCTTGTAGCATCACACGTGTCATTCTGTAAATAAAATAAAAACAGCAAAATAACAACTTGTCGGAGAAACGAAGGGCTACAGAGAGGCACAGGGTGATGCTGTGATGATCCAGCAGGGTTAGAATAAGTTGCATCACAATTTTCTAATTCCTGAGTGGATATAATTGTGTATCTGTATATGTGCAGGCTTTAACTCAAACCCCCTGTTTGGTGGTAATTCTTTGCTGTAATTAAGAGACAGAGGGAGGAAGGAGAAGACAAAAAGACACACCTAGATCAAGCTACATTTCATCTGTCTGTTTGGCAATAATTTCTCAACCTCAGTGCAAGTAAGGACAAGGAAGCAACGGAGGAGGAGGGGGGGAAACTGGCCGATGAGGAACAGTGGAAGCGAGAGGAGGAGATGCACACGCTCATACGGTTGCTAAAAGCTGCCTTTAATTTGTTTCACATGGAGTGCCTGACAAATATTCAAGGCCAAGGCTAGAAAACTGGACCTTAGCATTAAGCCTTTTGCAAAACAGACACTGCGGTTTTCTGTGGGGAAGGATGGGGGGGTCACTTTCCCTGCAGTGGCTGAGAGGCGCATAATTACACACAAAACAATGCATGAAAGCAGCCTGTGAGCCATGAAATACAACACACCCTGCACATGTCCTGATCAATCATCAAGGCTTTATTGAGAGCGGATTAAGTCAGGCACACTGACCAGGGCAGAGCTGCACACAAACATTTAATCTTATTGATGACAGGACATTCGATTTTAATAAGACGGGTGTGTCTTTTTTTCTTTTTTTTCAAAATCATTTATGGCAGTAATTGAAATGTTGATGCTTATTTATTGGTTTTTCTACATCATTTGCTGCTTCCCTAACAATTTCACCAAACTGAAGTACATCATGTACAATATGTGCATGTGGGTCACTTTGTGTCTGCAGTGATTACAAAACAACAGAAACATCCTTGCCTTGTAAGAGGTGCAATCCGAATATTTCACTGCCAATAAAAACAAATATTAACCGTGCATATTTCTGTAGCCTTCATTAGATAAAGTGCTGTTCCAGCTGCTAGCCCGACTTCTTTGCTTATTTTCTACTTCATGTCTAAATCCTGATAACATTAAAGCGGTGTTATTTGGAATCTTTGACAGCTTATTTCAGCCAGGACTCAGGGGTTATTTGGTGATGTTTACTAGCACAGATCTCTGATTGTAAGATGGTGGGCAGCGATTGTGGAAGCAGTGGAACATCCTGCAGGTAACGGTGGTTGCTGTTCAAAAAGCAGGTTGAGCAGGTGGGGAGGAAGTGTTAAAAAACAGGCCCACGCAGAACTCTAATATACGGTACCTGAAAAATGTTGTCTGCTTTGTGTGCTGCCAGTTTGGGTTCAGAGGTTGCTGTATTTTTTTTTTCCCTCCACTTTGCATTCACAGAAAGAACATATTCATCTTGCTTTGGATTATTAATGCTGAAACTTAAAGTTCAGCCTGAATTACCCACTTATGCTGCATGCAGACTGATGGCTTCCTACTGCCTGGGTACAGAATCTTTAAACACAAATTTAAGCACTGATGCCTTCCTTTCAAAAACCAAAAAGGAGTGTGTGCTAAACAAAGTGAAATGCATTGTTTGCATACGTCTCGAGCCGTCAAACTCACAGTATCAAGGAATCTGCATGGAAAGAAAAATAGCGTGATGTTCAACACCCTGTCCAATTAGCAACAATCTTACATGTTGCTTCCATGAAGTGTCTGACGCAAATGCTAATCAATTTGTCCTCCGGTCATCTGCACACTTAGATTATGGCTCCCTGCTATGAGCAAACAGAATGCGCTTATATGGTGGAGGATTTGTCAGTCACAGAACAAATGACTCTATTAGCACAACCAGCATTGCTGTCAGTTCTGATAACCTTGTAAACCATCTCCAGTCTATGTGTGTAAAATAAGAACAGGTGGGAACCAGTTCCAATTACTGTAACGGTAATCCAAAATGCTTTAAGGCTAACATTAAGCTACTTAATAGCATTATGCGTTTGCACTGCACTCATCTTCTCCGCTGGCAATTGCCTGGAGCTTTGTGGTTGGTCGTATTATTACTCCCGCCCCGCAGGTGAGTTCAAGGCAGTGGAGGAAAATAATGAACTGATTTTTGAATGTAACACCCGATTTGAATGTGAAATACTTTGGTAGACACAAATAGAAGCTTAATTCTGGCATCTCATCTGTCACTTGACTCTTACTTAGCGAGTCACGTGACAGTGAGCTGCAGGCAACTCCTTTTGCAGGGATAACATTTGTTCAATAAGACCAACTTACAACACACATGCACTTGCACAAAGCTCCAACAAAAAAAACAAACCAACATCACAAGCTGGTATTCAGACACATGGAAAGAGAGCTCGAAGCAACTGAACATTTTGTCAGCCTATCAGGGCGGGTGATGAAACACGGAGAAATAGGCGGTGTACGTTAAGTGACGATGCTCTGGCTGCACAACTTTTTTTTGCGTTTCTCTTTCAACGTTGACACATACATTTTGGCAAGGTTGTCAATGTCAGGTGTGTCCCTCCAGGTGTGTAACCTCAGCAACATGGTTTTCATCTCAGATAAGCTCTATTATTGATTAACAAGCTATACATTTGTTCTAGCTTCTTCGCCGCAATCTCAGACTGTTGAGTCTGTTAAATATTTAACACTTCTCCCTCCATATTTCTGTGTCAAATTTATCTTTGGATGCGTCGGCACTTTCCTGATGACTTAATAAGATTAAGAAGAGTTAAGAAAATGTTAAAGTGTGACAAAGTGGCATTTCATGTTCCTCATATACGGTTACATGTCTTCATAACTGAAATAATTTATTAAACTAAGAGCCAACAGCTCTTTCAGAAAATGAATAGTTTATCTGCTTTGCTCTTTGCCTGCACCTATAAATACTACTTTAGAGGAAGATACTCCACAACAACCTTTTAATGTGTTATCTATGTTATAGGTCAAGTGCATTTACATTATTTTTCTATTTGGCTTTTGCCTTTATTTTGTCAGACCAGTGGAGAGAGACAGGAAAGAGGGGGAGAAGTATGGGGAAAGACCTGCAGGAAATGGCTACGGTAGGGAGTCGATCCCCTGGCCGCTGCATCGGGGACTATAGCGCCTGTCTGCGGGCTGCCATTTTATTCGGTTGAGCTACCGGGGCGCCCCAGGCCAAGTGTATTTAGAAGCCTCATCCTGAAGGCCGTGCTCTTGACAAATACCGTGCTATGAGCATGATCTCTTAAAATGCAAATGTGTTCACCTTGCATGGAAAATGAGGAAAATAGAGGGATTAGGTGAACATGATAAACCAGGAAGAAGCTAAAGGATGTTCCAAAGAAAGGCTGCAGGTGGAGGCTAAACAGAAATGCTATGGCATTGTGGCTGCTTTTGGTATGTGTGTCTTAAATGTGTCAATTTTCAATATGTCGTACTTTTTTTAATGTTGGTATATCTCATTCTCATGATTTACTCTATGTAAAGGGGAAAAATGAAATATAAGGGACTATGAAGTTATACAACAATGTCAGTGTGGGAACAGAAAAGGGTTTAAAGCTGATGTGGTGGATAATAACTATAGGAATAATAGGAAGATTTTTATCTCTCTGCAGTCCATCCATCCATCCAGCCAGCCAGCCATCCATCCATCCATCCATCCATCCATCCGCTTATTAGGGGTCAGGTCAAGAAGCAGCAGATGAAGCAGTCCATTTTAGGCATCCCTCTGCCCAGCCATGCTTTCCATTTCCTTCTGGGGGATCCCAGGGCGTTTCCGGTCGGATGAGCTATGCAACCCCTCCAGCGAGCTCTAGGTCTACCCTGGGTCTCCTTTCAGCTGGACATACCCAAAAAACCTCTAAAGAATGTCGCCCAGGAGGCATCCTAATCAGATACCTGAACCATCTCAACTGGCTGCTAGCGACTCTACTCCGAGGGAAGACATTCAGCTCCTTGTATCAGCGACCCAGAGCTCATGACTATAGGTGAGGGTTGGGATATACAGCTGACCACATTTGTTTCTGACTCCAAGCACTGCTTCCACAAAATCTAGGAGATCTGTTTCGGTTTATATTCCTAAGGCATGTCAGAAGTATGTTTGTGTTATGAGCCATTAGGTATTATTTTCAAAATAAGAGCAGAACTTTTAAATCTATTTTTAACCACTTGGATGTCAGCCCAAAAGATTGAAGAGTATGTGCTCACGACTTTTACTCTTGTTAGAACTCCAGCTGCCGAACTCAGAATGGCCTGCGGTTTACTTGTTCTTTGGAAAGGCCGCTTATAAACTATTTGTGATATAAATGCATGAATGAGAACATGGAACCTTCATTTTTTTTGCTGTTTATTTTAGAGGGTGGTTGAAAAGAGAGTAACGAGTCAGACATATGAGGGCTGTCTACAGCCTGCAAATAGCAACATTAGTGAAACTCCATGTCCAGTATATGGGTCTGTCACATGACCTAATATACTGGAGGATGATCTATCCATCCATTCATCCATCCATCCATTCATCCATCCATCCATCCATCCATCCATCCATCATCTATACACTGATTAATCACTAGGGTTGCGGGGGGGCTGGAGCCTGGAGGATGATCATATTCTCTAATCTGTTTTAACTATATGTAGGCTGTTTAACCCCTAATGACCTAAGTATCATAGATACAATAGAGCGTGCTCACCGGCTTAGATTTCATTGAACAGTGTTATATTGAATACAAATCCCCCATACCTTCTTGATCAGCTACAGCAGGCTAAGCCGTAGCCTCTCTATGTGCATGTGCATAGAGAGCAGGATTGTGTTGAACTAAGTATTTTAATGTACTTTTCTTGTCAGTCAAAAAAAAAAAAAATGCAAAAAGCACAGCTTCAGCTCAAGCTGGCGAGGTGCCAGCTGGGAAAAACCCTCCAAAGCAGGACAGAGGGAGCGAGTCTAAGCCCCAATCCAGCTGCTGGCTACATTTCTGAGGAAATATTTTGGAGTGAGACTGAAGGTAGCTTTACTGCATGCAAACACTGAGCTTCCCTTCATATGTCCTTTTGTCTTATTTCACACTTCATAAACTGCTAGCATTTAGTGGTAGCCCATTCTGCCACCCTCTAAAAAAATGTAATGGGATGCCTGATGTTAAAAGTATATATCCTGACAAATGTGATTGATATGCGGATACCCATTTACCCTTGGCAATAACTGGAGTTATTTGTTTGCATGACAGGACAAGGAGCTGAAATGGCAGAAAAATGAATACTCTATTCTAAATGTACTCGATCACTTTCTAAAGTAATAGCAGATTCCAGCCAAACACCTTTATATCCACCTAAAATAGAGATGAACATATTTTGGAGATAGCAACACTTCCTTAGAGATGTCAAGCAACTGTACATCAAAAGTGTAGAATAAAAATGTAACTTAGGACCTTAACAAATCACATCATTACCTCACATCGGACCCGAGTAATTGTTTTGATTTTTACTGTTTCCACACTCAGATCATTCTCCCTCTACAAGGTGAAGATAAAACACAATGCATGATCCTGTAATAGCGCCCCGAATCCCCATTCAAATCCCTCAAAATGTATTATTGGCCACTATTTAGGCATAAACCCTGGACTGTGCTGCCACACTGTAAGCATGTGCTCTCTGTGAAAACTCACAGAGGATGTCAGCTATCATTATTTCATGATTAATACACTGACAAACATCAGGCCAATTAATCTACAACAGCAATTAGAAAAATCTGGCTGCTCAGCGGAGCTTAAACCGCAGCAGTCAACAGGGAAGCAGCTCTGGGTGAGAAATCTGTCCAACAAGATCGACCATGCTGAAAAATGCCAGGTAATTTTAAACGGGCAACAACAACGGAAACAGAGGTACAGTCATGACTCAGTGGCCAGTAAAAAAAAACACGTTTGCACGCAACAGTGAAAAGAATAAATGGGATTCAGATTCAAAAAAGGAGGACTGTGTGGAAGGAGGGAACAGAGCAGCGTATTACTGTTAAAAGAACAAATAGATCAGCGTTCCTTTGGAAAAGTACACTTACCCTGACTTGGCCTACAAACAAATTGGCCTCTTCCTCCTGTACGGTGAAGTTAGTGGACATGGTGAGGTCAAAGTCAGGGTCATTGTCGTTGACATCAGTGACGACGATGTTCACAGTGGCAGTGGATGTCTAGAAGAAAAACATAAAGAGCACAGTTCATTCTTAAAGATCTGAAAGGTGATAGATTATTATAAATGTGGGTAATTTCTTTGGAGTACAATGTGGAACTTTTAAATTATTATGTGTGAAAGAAAATTTTGAGACCAAAAAAAAATTTAAAAAAGAAAACCAGGGAGCTGTGGAGAAACCGCACAGATTAGCAACTCTGAGAGGAAACTTAAGCTTCCATGATGCATAAATGGTATTTTCTGTCAGAAACCTCTGAGTCTCACCTCACCAGCTTATTCTGCCAGAAAAAAAAAAACTTAAAATGAAAGAATGAAATCAACGTTTGCCGACTTTTGCCTATAAATCAGCAATTCTACAGTTGTTCTAGGTTCTGCCTTGGTTGGTTGTTTCAGTCTTCTTAAAAACCTTGTTAAACACATTTGAGACTGATCACATTCTTATTTAATGGTACTGGGCGATGGTAAAGAATCTAAACATCTGAAGTGCCTAAAGCTTTCGCACAGTTTGTGCCCATTATGTTGCTAAAGCAAAAGAAATGTATTGCCAAACAGAGCGGGGGTAGTAAGCTGTAGTTTATTTCAGCCTCTTTTTGCAATAATACTCTGCACCAAACTCTGCAAAAAAGCACTGTGAGATTCATAAATAATTTCTTGTTAAAGGAAAACTTTAAAAGCCATCCAGATGTAGGAAGAGAAGGATTTTTTTTGGAACAACAGCTCTACTGAAAATGTTCAAAAAAGAAAATAAAACAAAACAACAACAACAAAAAAAAGTGGAACTTTCAAAGTCATGAATATCCAAAGACCCTTTAGTGCATTAGTGTTGACTGCTTGTTGATTTCCCAGACAGTGAGCTGGATGATTCAAGCTTGTTTCATTCAGATTTCCATCAGTGGTAATGCAAAAATAATTTGTAATTCCAAATAAGTAAATAAATTGTCTTTAAAAGCAGTGCATGGCTGTTGAAGACACAACAGCAACTCTGCTTTTCAAGTAAACTCAAAATGCTTAAAATTGGCATAAATAGATGATGCACCATAACACATGACTCATCAAAAAATATTTATTGATCTTCTGTATTCTAAATAGAAGAAATGCATTGACAGTAGCAACCAGAAGAAATCTGTACAAGCATAAAATCAGATCCATCAATGAATATTTCACTCAGAAACAAAAGATCTTCACCATGGTTCCAGACTTCAGTTCACCAACAGCGCATGTTTTATTGCATTAGATGATCCCATCGCTGTAGACTATGCTCCACTCATTCCATTATTTACTCCTCACACTGAAGTGAATCCTACTTGTATGTTTATTGTGCAGGTTCAGTGGTTTTCTGGGTTTCTCAAAGCTCATGGGGAAATTCCGCACAGCGTCATTTGAGCTCCTCATACCTCTGCAAAGCCAAGGTGGACCATTGTACTGCTGTTAACCTTCAAACAATGACACGGTACACACACACACATGAGGCACTTCTATAAATCAACGTGGAAAATGGCTGAATATGCACAATCTATAATCCTTCACTGCCATGGGACGAACATGTATGCAAATAATGCTGTAAATGGCCTCCTTTGGGGGAGGAAGGATGGGCGGGTTGTGGGAGGAGTTGGCCCTTGCCAGAAAATATACTTCCCAGAAGACAGCTATTTGAAGTTTGCCCTGGCAGATGAGGCGTTCGGCATATGTCACGAAGAAAATGACCTACTTAATGTCACCTTCATCTCACTGTCCACTGGGAAACCCTTCGCCATTGTTGTTCCTTTGTTCCAACTTCAGAGACGTACATAATCCGTCGCTTCATGTTCGAATTGAAGTTGCAGCCCATCCACGCCTCCGCTGCCATTCCACTATTTAAACCGAGATGTAAAAGGATGCAGCTCACCATCAGTGTTGTGATGGGATCTACTTATTTTTCATTTCGCAGAAGAACTGAAGCCAATTAGTGTCTCCATCCTGGCGTGGGTGTTCCTTATCAAAGCCAAAAAAAAAAAAAAAAAACAACCTACCTCCACGGACACAAGTGTGATTAATGAGCCGCTATTATTTATTTAACATAAAAAAATGGAGCTCTGTGAAGTCTCGTCTTCTGTCCTCAGCGTCTGAAAGATTCAGAGGTGGCTGATGGTGCTTTCCTTTTAAGTGACAATCCTGACCAGAAGACATGTTGCAGGGACTGATATGATCAGCCTGTTAGGAGTCATGTACTCTCTCCGCTGTGGGTAATAAAAATTTTATCCGGGACGCCGGGGTGAGTTTTTGGGGATCTGAGTCTGCTCGGCTGTTTGATTAAAGCTTCTACGGCTGAGAATACAAATTGTGAATTTATCACACAGATGAGCACAGTTTGTTTCATGCAAGAGTAAAAGTTAATATTATGAGGAAAAGTTTGCATGTGTGACTGTAGTCAGAAAGCAGCAGCACTGAAGGGATGGCGGGCGGGGGGGGGGATGGCTTGCTTCGCTCCTTGTGTCAGGTTTCCATGGTTACCAAAGTTCTGTGCTAATTACACATCCAATTCCCTTGTGTCCCCATCCTTTTCCCTGCATCTCCTTTCTGTCCTCTCCTCCTGCGTTTATTTTGATCCTTTACACTCTCTCCAGGCTTCAGTGCGGTAACTGCGTCGCACAAAGTTTCTCACCTCCGCGCTCATACAAACCTTTACCCCTCTGCCTCATTCAGCTTCCTCCCCCGATGTGACAGCATTTCTTTCTGGCTGTGACATTTAGCCAACACAAGTCAAGCCAGTAATTTACTCGGTCAAAGATTTTTTTTTTTTGCACACACAGATACACACACAAAAATATACAAGCAAGCCGTGTCGGTTTGTACAACCCGTCCATCACTATGAGGACAAAGAGCAGCAGCTTGTCGCTACCTCATTCCGGGGGGTCAAGCCCCATCTTACATGGTCTGTATTTGTTTGCGCTTTTCCCTCTGACCCTGTCACTGTCCATCTCTCCCACCACTCCCACTCTAACTGTTACACTCTGACGGATCTCATATATCGGGACACACCAGCTTCTTATAACTTGCCTAACACAATATGTCTCCCTGCCAACAGATGGAAAAGGAGCTGTAGAGCTGAGTGTTTATGAGCGTGCAGGTGAGGGGGGCAATCAACATCACTCTTGTGACAGCTCATCAGCTAATGTTCATTACCTATCACACACAGCATCTTAAAAAGGAAACCACATTTCACCTCTGCCTCGGAGAGAGACAGCTACAAAAACTGAGCCAACTGAGGTGAAGTCTAATTAAATTAAGATGGTTTATATGATTATCAGCTCTCGGTGGGAGACGGAGCAGCCAGCGTTCACTTTCGGTTATGGTGTCTGCTGTTTCTAAAGGCTAAGTTGCAAAAACAGCTCTGTGAATGTAAACACTCAAAGGTACTTGTGATGAAATTGAACGGGCAGCAGCTTTTAAAGGTGCACTCAACTGATTTTACACTTAAATATCAGTTTACTGCTCATCGTTGGTGCAACTGAGCCCCTGACAACGGTTGTATAATGTCTTCTGTTGCTCTGGAGAACGACTGTCAAAATAATAATTATGATATGGTGTTGACACGATGTCTTGGATTGAAGATAAATTTATAATAGAAAGCCTGCAATGAAAGGCTTATTGAAAGATACTATTGGCTGCATGATGGAGAATACAGTGTATACAGTATAGTGTATAAGTATTGTGAGTATAGCATCCACTGTTCTTGAACTTGACTCATAGACGAAAAGTGTTGTTTTTTTGCTTTAGTGTTGATTATTCTTTCAAATGTTCTTCCAGTACTACTTTAAAAGGTCAGTCTCTGCACGGGGAGTGTACTAAACACCTCTATGTGTGTTATTACTGTTGTCCTAATTTCATCCAAGTTATACTCTGAACAATCAGAGACCAAAAAGATCAACAATGATTGTTGTGGTATGGCACATGGGCAAAAATTATGCCACTAAACTTTATGTTTTTGTTATAATTTCCAGATTTTACTTCTAATTTTACACATGTAGTTTTTTAGGTCATGTTCCCAACTGTATACTTTTTTTTTATACTTGAAGTACGTACTTCAGCTGTCCTCACAAAGTACGGAGCGTTTCGTGCAGTATTCATACATGCTTCACCACAAAAATGCACCTTAAACTTTAACCGTTGCAGTCTGTAGTGTGAAATGAGCTGTCATCTGTATGCCTGCTCTCAGTGGCTCAAGTTTGCTTCTACTTGCACACAACACCACAACATATGTGACGCAGAGGATTGTTGGTCAGAGTGGCCAGAATAGGACGCTGGCTTAAACCAGACATTCAGGTTTTTTTTGGAAACATTAGATTTGACATTCTAAATATATTTTTGGCATACTATATAGTATAGTAATATAGATATTGGAACACAGCCTTTGGTCTTGTTAGCCTGAAAAAACTGTCTGGGAGCGTTACCAATATAACCGCTGAGTGGCAAGACTTCCCTATCAGGAGTCTGGCACAATGCTATCTTCTTTTAGCCAAATAAAACAACACATAGCTATTTGATATAGGCAAACAAAAACTGTCAGATAGCTCAAAACACCAGCAAAATATGCTTTTATCATTTTATGTAAAACAGAAAATGTAAAAAGTCATTATCAAAACAATGCTTACAGCTGCATTACACATGTTAGTAAAAGGCTAGCTCAAGTAGTTCTAACTTTGCATTTTTCTTTGCCAAACTTAACATTATTCCAGGGTAGCTATTGCCAGCTCTCTCCTTTCTTGGTGAGTCACAGTCACTCTAGTTACAATAAAAGCCAATGACTAATAGGTTGACAGACCTGAAAGTTACTTCAGATGAATACACTTGGGGAAAAAAAAGGCTAAGTCTTGTCATTTGTCACGCAGGCTCTTATTTTAATTTCCTAATACTACGTATGGGCTAGAATGAACAGTCAATCCTTATTACTCTGGTGCAGCAAAAACTAAAAAAAAAAAATGGTGCTCCTGACCTCTAATGCTACCATAGATTTTATGAATCTGTGACAAAATTATAGTGTATAAAACCCAGTCAGTTAAAACACACTATTAGATTTTCCAAGTTAATGAAGCACTTGGGTTCAGTGAGCCAAATGCAAGAAAATGATCTTATTTGAGCTTAATGTGCTCTAAATGTTTGGAGATCATTGACCCTGAGGAATCATGCCAATAGTTGTATAAAAAAAAAAAAAAAGGGCTGCATCTCACCCCTCCAGGGTTCCCGTCGGAGGCTGTGACAATCAGACGGTACTGATCAGTGGTCTCTCTGTCCAGAGGCTTTCCCAGAAGCAGAAGGCCAATCCTGTCGAGAGAGAGGTCACAGAAAACACTTATATCACTGTTCTAAAGGACACACAGCTTTAGTTTGAATCATTCCCCTGTTGCATTTTTTGTGTCATATGAAGAAAAAGCATCCATTTAAAGAACTTTGTCCAACACTTTTGAATATTTTATCCCTGATGCAATAGAGTGTGACGGAGAAGACTGCATTTCAGAGTTTATTTACTTCCAGATTTGACAGATTTATAAAACATGGTTACTGATCGAAGAGGATGCGTTTAGGGCATAGAGCAGGTGGGAGTTTAAATGCTCCCACTCTGTCTTTCTCTCTGTGTAGCCAGTCTCTAGCTCCCAAAGCACACGGACTACTGACAGAAAGATTCATGTTTTCCTTCTAATGACTGCAGCAGACACAGCGACCCTCCTGCTCGTTCACAAGATATAATTTGGCACTTTGGCATTCCAAACACAATATGCGGATGCATCCCAATGCAGAACACTGAGTTATCTTTGTTTGCACACAACACGTGAGTGCAAGCGCAGCCACACACAGGACAATTTTACTGCCGTACTCCACAGAGGCTTCCGCCTGAACCACAAACGGATGGAAAGACGAATGCATCTGAACGCAGATTAATGCCATTCGCAATTCCCTGCTGTCCCCCCCCTCCCCGCTTCTTCACATTTCTAATTTAAAGCTCCTGTGGCCAATCAGTCCAAGCAGAACCGGAGCGCTACTTCCCCTCCTGCCTGTGCAGCCCAAAACGGTTCAAACTATAGAGGCTGATTTTGAAATCTAAATGGCAAATTAATGAAATCTTCATCAATGTCGTCTTTTTTCTTTAAGCACTTGTCCCTGATTAGAGTGAGCACACGACTTAGACTCCACCACACCTGATTATTGGTGGTTCAAGAGGGCAAACACAGCTTTCTAAAAACACCATAAAAATGCAGCACGCCATCCTGCACCGGCTGCTGCGCTCATGTTTATTTATACATAAGCAGGACAGGAGAAAATAGCCCTCCCCGTACGCGGTGAAACTAAAGGTACAGGAGGCTTTGATGTGAACATGCTGATGACTGTATACATTGATAACTGTCGTAATTACAGCGATAATGACAATGATTTTGATGGCAGCGATGCTGACAAAGATTAGAATGACTAATGCTGCTTAGCTGGCCTGGGGAGTTTATTTCTCACTACAGCAGCTGGAGTGCTGGACTACACTTGAGCGGTTGGGTCTGAGTGGTTCACTGATCATGTGCGATAGCGTCCTGCCTCCTCTCCCCAGCCAACACAAATGAAAAGATGTTGTCAGCCATGTGGGACACTGGTAACAGCACCACTTTGAGTGTCAGTGGTGCAGGTTAGAGGCTATCCATCCACAAGCAGCCACTTTTTCCTTTTTTTGCTCAGATCGTGCCTCGATATGTTAAACTGGGCTTGATACACAAGGCGTGGCTTCCAGGTGAATGTTTTACCTGAGGGCAAGTTTGATGAGATAAGACACAGAGGTAAGTTTCTACCTCGCTCTGCGGCATTAATTTGTTTCTTGCTTCTCATTTAAAACCGACTCCGACCAGCAGATCAGTGTTTGCTTTCACCGGACAGTAAGAAAAGCATATTCTTCTGAACTCCTTTTCTGTTTCAATTTCACTTTGAAGCGAGACAGTCGGCTGCCGACGGGAACACACTGCAAGTATCAAAGTTGGCATGGCCTTAGGTTAGCTTAGGTTTTTGACTTTGACTACCCAGAATAAAAAAAAACCAAAAAAAAACCCTTTGGCTTCAAAGATGATGCCGTAATCAAACAAAACTAGGCAGGGTGGTTAGAATAACAGGGAGATCTGCAGACTAATAATCTATATTAGACTTCTTCAAGATTGCAATAAATGCTGTTTAAATTGCAGCCGGTGATTTGAGTCAGATCTGAGACTGATATTTGAGAGTAATATATTGACCAAAACACTATTTACTCAGTTGGAAATATAACAGCTGAAATGATCCGGTCACTTCTTTCCGGTGGACAATCTATAGAAGAGAGACACGCACGAGGAGTTGTAATGGTGAGTGAATATGAAGCATTTCCGCCTCCCTCAGGGGAACCTGCCCCATTTATAAGGAGTTCTAGACCGGGGAGCTCATTATTCAAACAAGCTGGATTGAGCCAGCCCCATATGTAGCCTGACTCTGAACACGCAGCAATGCAAAAAAAAAAACTCTTCGCTGAATAATATTGGAGTTCTGAGGGTTGAAAAACGAGGGCTCCGTATATTGCACACTCATCAAATGTACCAGTTAATAATTTTTTGATTTATCATATGCTATATCAGCACCTGCTTTAAGTTACATTATTGACAGGCTGCTGAGAGCGTGTGATGTGATCGTAATATTTCTGTCACCCAGAGAATGCCCTAAAGGAGAGCGCGTCTATTTATTTTCGTAAGATTTCTGTCATATCTGGTTTAGGAGATTACAGCAGCAATGACAACAATAGCGGTCTCTTGTTATTTGAATTGTGTGACCATGCTTGTGCTTAACACTATCACTGCGAAACCATAAAATAAACATCCTTGCATAAGAAATAAAAACAAACAATTTCAACACTGTGGGGCAGATTCAGCAAAAACAAAAAAGCAGGGATAGTTTGCTGCAGCACAGCTTGTCCGTACGGTGCTGGGAGACTGAGGATGCAGACAAAATAGGCTTTAATCAATTAGTTGGGAACGTGTTTGGCAGGGTCCTGCATTTTCAGCCTCCACATGTCTCTTCTCTCCATATTTGCTCGCTTATTTAATGGATGGAAAAAGGCACTGACCACTCTATTATTATTTTTTGTTCCACACTAGTGTTTGAGTGAGGTGCTTTTTTGTTTTTTTTTAAAACGCTGACGCTAATCATGAGATTAAAAGTCCCTCTCTGGTCATTGATTTAACCCTTAATACTCATCTCTGTTTATCGCAGTTACATTAACATGGCTTAGATGCAAATCTATACCTTGGATGTACGGATCTACATAGTCTCTGCCTCTCTCCAGCTCACTTACCCTAGAAATCTATCTTATGCTACACAGTGGCAAGGTGTATTACTGGAGTAATTAAGCCATATATGTGCGAGTTGGAAACTGCCTCAGCCTGCAAGGTGACAGGACTGGCTGTTTAGGTTTGTTACATATGAAACCTCAGAGGTCTGAATCCACGGTTTGGAGCTGTTCAGCGGTCTACTGCAGCTACATGGTGGAAATACTCTGCCATGGGTGTTGACTGCTTATTTCACTCATGAGATGTATTCTAGCATATAAAAAAACACCATATAGACATGCTAACAAGCTTAAAAAAATGATCTCAAGCTAAGATATTCTAGTCCCCAACATCCAAAACAGCAAGGCTGAGATGGCAACGACAGAGAGAAGTCCTAGAATCTCCATCTCCAGTCATCAAACAAAATATTATTTTACATTATTGTTTGATTTGATTTATTCTGAGCTATAAGACAGTTCTGCCTGTCAGCTCTGAGTAGGTCTGACATCACTGGTAAAAATTCACATCTCTCATTGTTTCCATTCAATTTACATCATAGACTACAGCAGACATGAAGGGAATTCTGATAATATATCCATCCATCCATTATCTATACACCGCTTAATCATCACTTGGGTCACGAGGGGGCTGGAGTCTATCCCAGCTGACTTAACATAAAGGCAGGGGACACCCTGGACAGGTCACCAGTCTATCACAGGGCTACACTTAGAGACAGACAACCAAGCACACTCACATTCACACCTACGGACAATATAGAATTACCAATTAACATGTTTTTGGGCTGTGGGAGGAAGCAGAACCCGGAGAGAACCCACTGCACAGGGAGAAAACTCCATGCAGAAAGATTCCTCACCTGAACGCGAACCGGCGCCCTTCTAACTGTGAGGCAACGGTGCTAATCACTGAACCACCTTGCAGCCCCTGATAATATATGACAAAGGCATTTTCACCTAACAGAATTGAGCAATATGTTAGTATCTTGCAAATGGTAACCAATCACAAAACTACAAACTCTGAGATGTGCTTAGTTATATAGTCAGACTTAACTGATTCTTTAATTAATTAACAAAGATATATGTTGGCTAATGAATCTGACCAATCACTGACAACTTAGCATCCATCCTCCACCATCACAACTGCACATCTCTCGTCCTCTCATTCCACCATGGCTCCCTCTGGTAGTATCTGATCAGACAGAAGCTAATGATGACAGACCCTGACTGTTTTGTTTGAACATTCTCTTCCATGGTCATCACAGTGAAGGACGCTGTTCTTATACTTGAGACAAAGACAAAGCACAAAAAGTTTATCAAAGACTTTGGTTGTTATGTAGCCCTTTTGTTTGCGACTCTTAATTTGAAAGTTCAATACAGCTTTTGACAAATCAGCCACCGTGCACAAGAGCTTTGTCTTGTTGTTTAACATCCTCAATAAACTCTCAAACTAATGTCAGCGTTAGTGAAATTGATTGCCAGGAGCTTGTTATTTTTGTTGGACTGAAGTCTAGCAAAGCATTTGGTGTTCTTTCATCGTACCCCTTTTATCTTGTTTATCATGCTTTTGGGAGAGAGGTGAGAACAAACCACATATAGAAAAAACAGAATATTTACAGTGTTGTTTACCAGTAACCTGCATGCTGCTGAACTTTGAGAGGAGAACCATTCACATGCCCATCTGTGCTTACGTTTCAGAGAGGTTGAAGACATTCTGAGAATCCCCACTCACAATGTGGTACGTGATCGGATCGTTTTCTCTGTCTGTGGCCTGGAGGAAGAAAAAAAAAGAAAAAATAACAGGAGTATGAAGGTCATATGTGCCATGAAAGCTGTAAGGTACAAGACAGGACAGTTGAGCAGCGAGGACTGGAGTGAAAACAAGCATAACGTATGGTTGACAGTGAAATGTCAGAGGAGGAGAAAAAAAAAAGAAGTGTTGTTTCCATTGTCTCATTGTGCACAAAAAAAGCCATCAGTTTCAAAACAGCATCCTTGTGTGAGTGTACATATTTCTAGGCTTGTGACTCACCTGCAGATTGAGCAGAATAGCCCCTATCCTCATGGCTTCGCTGACTTCCAGGCTGTAGGTGGAGAGAGGGAAGCGTGGGGGGCTCTGGTTGTTGGGTGGCAAAACCTCAATGTAGACTGTTGTGATGGAGCTCCTGGCAGAAAGAAAAGCACAAATCCACTGACAACATTAGTTTCCGTTTGACAACCTGTTGAGCGGTACTGATGAACCCTTGCCCACAGCTCGGTGAAAAATGTTCCGAATATATAATTCCACATCAAAGGTCACTTGGGAGGATTTATGACTACGGAAAAGAAAGAAATGAGTTTTTGTTGCATTTTGGTTTCCTTTTCTGGTTCAAGGTTGAGTTTCTTTTTTTTTTACCTGCTGCGGTATCAAACACAAAACAAACCTCTTGGTCATAATTTGAGAGGTGTCATTATTATTTTGTCATTATACTAACAGTGTAGCCTTTTGCATCTTGTTGAACTGTTGAAATGTATCAATGCCAATCTTTGTTTGACTCAGTATAATCAAATATGACCTCTTCAGTGACAATATCTTCTGCTTTGTGCTGAGATCTGAAATTCTTTGCTTTTGCACAAAAAACAAACCTTTGCTCTTTAATCACATGTTACAGGAGAGGCAACGTATGAAACATCTCATGCATTCACTCACAAAAGCTCGTCAGTAATGCCATTTCTTCATAATTCTTTCTGGGTCATTCAGAAGCTAAAATGTGAAGTATTTCTAGCACATATTGAATTAAATAACAGCGATAAAGCAATGCATTCTGGGTGAACAAAGCCCCTGCAACTTGAGGAGACATAGAAAAATGTAACCAACAGAATAGAAGTTTAAAAAGTCTGTTCTTTAGAAACAAAATAATACATTGCATTATTTACGGGAATATAATAAAACCCTGCGATGTGCAAGGTCAGTGTACCTTCTCTGGGTCTCCGGTGCGTTGTCAGAGGCCTTGACAGTCAGTGCGTAAGATCTCCCCACAGTTAAAGTGACACCAGGCGCCACAGTGATGCGTCCGGTGCGATTACTAATGATGAAATCTCCTTGAGCACCAGCCAGTATCTCATAGGTCACCAGACCGTTCAGTCCCTCATCAGCATCCGCTGCCGTTAACTGAGAGAAGACAAAGAAAGCGATACGTCACACACTTAATCTGTGTATTTTCTGTTGGCTGTTTTACATGAAGATTCCCAGGCTAGCAGCAACATTCCCACTGAACCAATCAAGCGAAAAATATTTCTCAGAAACGAGTCGTGACTCACTTCAACTAGGATCCATTTGGTGCTCTGTTATTATCAAAATGGTTACATGACATTTGTTTCATGTATAGAAAAAAAACAAGTGGTTGGCATTTAGCTGAAGGTATACATGTTAGTAGCCCTGCAAATTGAACCGACTTCATCGCTCGTGACTCCAGTTTGGTGACCTTAATGTTCAATAACATTCGGACTGGATGGAATTAATAGCATGTTTACTTTCATATACGATGGATTACAAAATTGCGGAAAGACAGCTGCCGGATATAGCTCTTTTGAGAAGTAAGATAAAAAAGAAAGCATAATATATAAATATATCATTTCTTTCATGCTCTCTTATCAAATGAATTAAGCAACCACCAATTCCTTCAAGCCAATTATTTAGGGCATCCCGCTGCTTGTAATTATGAGCCCTCGTGGTGTAGTTGGCTTCATATCTTTAAGGCCTTGAAACTTTAATCCAAGCTTCTCCGACCTCCTTTTTCATGCTCCTGACGTTGGAGTAAAAGCTGTAGCATCAAATAAGCAGCAGCATCCTCGGGGGGCCTGCGGCTCTCATAAACGGCTTATAAAAATCGGTTAAGCGGTCATACCAGACACTCTGTGACCCCTGGCCTCATTTCAGGCGGGGTGAAACGGCTGTTTTTTAAAACCGATTAAACTTGACCTTTTCCAGTGTCTGACATTTTTTTCGAGAGGCTGTGCTGAGAGGACAGATCAACTGAAAGACGAAAAGATCATGCTCCGACTACCAAATGAGAGACAATGAAATAACGGAACTCCCACATTTACTGCAGATTGGGGTTATGAATTTACACTTTGCCTTGAATGCATTTTTATACATTTCTTGTATTTGTGCATAGATGGTTTATTTTATTTGCGGTCAGCTTATGTGTGCACGCATACCAGAAATGAGAAAAGTGAATCATGACCTTTAAATCCAGTGCACTAATAAAATCAAAACAAACATCAAACCCAAAAAACAATCATCTTAATCCATAAACTAAATCAAAAATGAATAAAATGATGAGGAAAAAAAAAGCAAAATCCCTTCCATGCAACATGAAGGACTGATAAACAGTCACCACTGATGTCTTCCATTATGAATCACTCAGGTCTGTGCAGTGAAGATGGAGATAAAAACATTTTTTTCCTGACTTGTCTGTCATGACTGCAGATGAGATGAAGGGAACTGTTCCAGGGGTTTGCCTGTCAACACAATGCACTGGATTGTTGTGGTGATTTGCTTTGAGCGTGAAACAGTGTGTGTGAGAGAGATTCTGTGTGATGGGGACAAAGACGGAGGCGTAGAGCAGAGTGCCAGAGCAGGAGACCAAAAGCGAAGGAGAAAGGCAAGAGAATGATTGTTGGATTGATTACCTGTAGTACTGTCTCCCCTGGCTGCATGTCTGTAAAGACTTCAACGCTGTAGGAGACCTCGGCAAACGTGGGCGTATTGTCATTGGCATCAATGACCAGGATGTTGACAGTTACTGGGCTGCTCTGCTGGACGCCATCTGATGCCACCATCTGTAAAGCCAAGAAAGAGAAATATTTATCGTCGCTTTAGAAACTGAAGACAAGTTAACAAAGTCCACTTGCTCAAAACAAATCACAGACAACTGGTTTGTGAAGATTTTTGGATTTTTTGGGGGGGCTTTGAAAAGCAAAAAAGTGTCAAACATCAACGCGTTTTTACCACCACAAAAAAACGTCACTTTCACTTTTGCACATGTGCATTCAGAAAAGCCTTTACAGATAAGAAGAGAAGAGCACTTGTACAAAGCGTGCCTAAAGGACCATTTGCAAACTGAGCACACTACATGTTTATTTGTCCCTTGCAGCTCAGATCTCCACTACTTGGCAAGGGAGAAAGAAAATGGACTGAGCAGAACAACAAATGAAGTGCAGGAGAGAAGAGATCCAAACAACAATTGTGGCAGCAGCAAGAAATACATGTTCCAGTGGGGGGAAATTGCTTCTCCCCAAAAAATTTGCACTCAGCGCTGAAATGGAAATGACATGCCTTGTTGGTTATACTGTACATCAGGAGGGTGTCTAGTAGCAGCTAAATATTTACAGTGAAGGTGCTGAACAGAAACACACTATAGCATGAGGGCTTTTGTCTCCTATCAGACTGTGTTTCTGTTCTCCAGCCAGTCGCAGGAGAGAGACGCCAGACAGTTTCTGTTAGCCAAGGGGGGGGAAAGCCGATTTGGATTTACTGAGTCATCCAAACTGTATGTATAGACACTTATACACATGTGTAAGTACTGACTAATGTAAACAATGTCATGCCTGCTTACTCATCCCTCTCATCCTCTGTCACACACACAAACAGTAAGCGCACAAACAAACCATTAACATAATACTGTTTGAAGGCTGATATCTATCTAAATTGGATCTGTCTACTCTCTCTCTCTCCTTCCATTCTACGGTACTTGGAGTAATTATAAAATTAATTTGATGCTAGCATTTACACAAAGACAAGATTTCCGTTAACAGCAATCTCTGAAATGACATCGGTTTCATAAAAGCAACACCGCTGCCTCCAAGAAGCCTCTGTGCGGTTATCTCGTAAACTTTATGTTTACAAGCTTTTAAGCAAGAACTCAGAAAGCTTTGCATTCATTTAAATTGTGCGATAATGCAACCAATTTAGATGATTGCTCCAAAATGCCACGTTCAGTCTTGTACATCAGTTTGACCTGCTTCATCTCCAAAGCTGGAAAAAAAAAACATCTGACTCACCGGCTGAGCTTATTGTAAAGAAGATTGACACCACAGCATGCTGTGAAATGGCAGCGAACGCCAAAGTGACGTCATGAGTCACTTTGTCCTGCTGACTTTTATCGGCTAATTTAATTTATATCAAATGTGTAATGTACTTACAGTTAGGTCACTGGTCTTTTAGCAGCGCTTGGGGCTCAGTATAATCACCGTGCTTACACGTGTAAAACAATATCAATAGACTTGGAGCCATGGTTACTTGTGTAAAGCGTCGATGAAAAACAAGCTGTTACACAGCCTGAGTAGACAGCTGGATAGATTAAAACATAATCATAGCGGTCCTGCCAGATGTAGATAGCACGGGTGACTTAAAATTTTTGCTACAGCACATTCTGTATAGATAGCCTATTAGTTTATGGTAATGTATGACTGATGAGTTTCCTGTGAGAGGTAGCTCATTGAAGTGCAGATGAGTGACAAATAAAAGGACAAAAGTGGCTACCACATGCTACTAGAACAACTTAAGTGCACCTTGACACTACAAGTTTCTGGCACTGTAATCCATCCATCCATCCATCCATCCATTATCTATACAGCACTTAATCCTTACTAGGTTCATGGGGGCTGGAGTCTATCCCAGCTGACTCAGGGTGAAGGCAGGGGACACCCTGGACAGGTCACCAGTCTATCACAGGGCCACACTTAGAGACAGACAACCAAGCACACTCACATTCACACCTACGGACAATTTAGAATCACCAACTAACCTCAACATGTTTTTGGACCTTGTGGGAGGAAGCCAGAGAACCCGGAGAGAACCCACGCTGCACGGGGAGAACATGCAAACTCCACGCAGAAAGATTCCGGTGCCCCCACCGGGATGCGAACCGTCGACCTTCTTGCTGCGAGGCAACAGCGCTACCAACTGCGCTGGAACTCTAACCATGTGGGTTTTTATGATAGCGCCGTCTAACGCGTCAGTTCAAAATCTCCCATCAGTGTTCATTTGGGTTGAGATCTGGTGACCCTGGAGGCTGAAGCCTATGATTCACATCATTTTCATAGTCAAAGAATTCTGTTACTTCTTCTGCCCTATGGATGCCACTGGATCCCTTCACTGTAGGGGTCAAGTATTTTCGGACTGTTCTCTTAGTGTATGCCATACATACACTTGCCCACTTGTTTTGGTCATGGTGAAGGATGACTCATCTGACCATGTTACTTTTTTCTCCCTACATCTCTGCAGACCAATGCCATTAGTTTTTGCACCACTGAACTCTGACGCATGTTCATTCATCTTTGTAATGCCTCCATTACAAGAGGTTTCTTCAGTTCTGAAGAAGCCTTTTGGAGGAGAGGTGAAATGTCTCAAACAACCTAAAAGTGAAGTCCAGATGCTTTTTACTGAAGCTCCAAGGAGAATTCCTCCTCAAGTGACTGAGAAGGACAAAGCAAGATGTGATCAGACTACGTGAACTTGAGCAGTCTGTTGCCAGTTAAATGGACCGGTATATTACAGTAGGCTTGCAGAGAGGAAATCCTTATTTCAAAGCTAATTGAACATGCTTCAGATGTAAAGACGCCTCTTGGATGAGAGGTGAAACATCTTCAAGAAGCTAAAAGAGAAACCCTTTTTACTGAAGCTCCTTTGTCATCAAATAGCTGATGTCAATTTCGGATGTCTTTCTGACAGATCCTAATGCAGATGTCACTTTAGTCACCGTTCCTAATGAAACATTCGCCAGTTGAGCAATCTTTGTGAATGAAGCTCCTGCCATCCGTCTCGCAACAATAAACCCACTATCAAAGTCACTTAAATGTTTTCCTCTTGTAAATTTGATGCAAAATCACAATCAACCGGGCCTGCTTAGCATTTTTAATCATCCATGCCACAGAGCATGATTAGATTAGATTAATTACTAAATTTTAGCATGCAGCGCAAATGGATTCATTGTTTCTAGACTCACTTTGTGGAAGATTTTCCCATTAATTAGTCACCAGTCTCTATGTATGTGCTCGTGTTAAATTTACTGTGTTTAATCAGTGTAGACAAAAAAATAATAAAAAAAAATCAAGGTAAACATTATTCATGACACGACTCATCAAATGTTCTTGAAAAACTACTTTTAGTGGGGAAACATCACCTCACAGCAAGACAGCCTTGAATTTTTTATTTTTTATTTTCCCAGTGAGCAGTGAACTGTATATGGCAGCTTTGTTGGAAAAAAACAAAAATCAATACACCTAAAACACCATAACCCAAAGCTTTGTGGGTGTTAAAAGTTCAAGACAGTTCACACAGCTTCCGTGTTTCTTAGATTCTAAGCACCCTTTCGTGTTTTAAAAAAGCATGAATTTTTGATGAAATTCAGCTTATGGTCCGGTGCGTCTGTTTACAAGACTTTCTGGAGTGCAAGGGACTTTATGTCATCTGCTGCTGTGTCAAAGGTGCAATATGCAGGATTTTAAATGTAGGATTAGTATAGCAGCGAACACATACCTTCTATGTAAAGATATAGTTCAACAATGGCATGCCTAGAAGAGGCTGAATTCACACTCCTCTGTGCATGTTGTAATCCAAGCCTACCTTTCGGCAGCCTGTACGGCAACACATGTATGTTAGTGCATGTGAGGGCCTCCCTTTGAAACTGTTAGTGCTCCTCTCACTTATTAACAACTCCCTCCCCTCACTCGAAAAGCAAAAGTAAAGTGTTTAGCCTGTCCCCCCCACAAAAACAATGCATTTATGCAGTGTTTGTTATTAAGCCTACCTAATTCATGTGCATTAGCTCAGCGTGAGCCTCTACTGCAGGCTTTGAGGCCCTCGGATGCTACCCGCCACGTATCTGTTCCGCTCTAGTCTCTGTTTCCACAGCTGCTCTTTGTTCTGGTCCAGTGAATTGGGAAAACAGACACACACACAAAGTTGAATAGACGCAAGCTGAGAGACGGCGTCGACAGCAACTTATAAAAGCTGTTCACTTAATTTTACGACGTGAGCTAATGGTTGTGGCTCGATTATTTTTTTTTTGTTGATGGACACATTTGTTCTGGTTGTAAATGAAAGTGAAGTGAGATTGTTTTGGTCTGAGGAGTTGGTGCTTTAGGACATCTAGTGGTTCTAAATGTCGCATACAGCACCTTTAAAATCCCTTTAAAAAGGCACCGAGAACAGGGATAAACTAAAAGTTATCTCTTACAAGCCACTAGCGAACTGGTATTTCCAACACAACACATCTGTGGCCCAAGTACCTCAAAGTACTTCAGTCTCTACCAGTGGAATTACTGATAGATGCCAGATAGTCCACATAAAATTATAAGAAACAAAACAAAACAAACCAAACAATTAATAGTTGAGTCTCCATATTGAATAGCCAAATAGTTGATTGAGAAAATTCTGAATTGGAAATAGACCTAAGAATATCAAATTCGATAAGAAAACGTGACCACACAAGGTGCAAAAGCTTCAGCTCCGTGCGCACACAATAAACACATTGTACTTTCATAAACTGTTGGTGCTGACACCCGAAACGCTTCTGACCGCTCAACCAAAACCAGCATTACATCAAAGCAGACAGTGGACCACATCATTCCTGTTCAAAACAGGCTCTGGGGAAGCGCTCCTCGACAGCTCACTGTAGGCTTCCTACTTCCTGCTGCTTTGCTTACAATCTTTAATCCAAAGGAATTCCCCAGGATGGAAGGAGCTACTGTATTTCCAAAAAGGATACCATCCGTCTGAGCAGCACAGAAACGGGCGACTCTGGTGAACCAGTCCGCTGACATCAATATTACACCAAATGAAATGAAAGCAATGCACATCACACAAGTTTCTGAGTAACCCACTTCAGAATCCTAATGGAACATGAAGGTAGCTGTGCAGTTCAATGAGCCTGTGCCATCTGATATATTAGAAAGTTGGAGAGCACTAACAAATTATGCAACAGGTTTTTTTTCAAATGAATAATTCATCATTTTGATGTACAATATATGCTTATTTGCTTTTTTTGCTGAGAGTCGGGTCGATACCGGGAGATCAATACCAATCCCACATCTGTATGGCAAACGTGACGCTGGTGGAGTTGTAGCGCTTCTATACTGCTACTGCACAAACATGATAGGAATACTTTTTCAGCTTTAGAGGTGCTGGTAGGCATATTTGGCTACTTTTGGAGGGTTTAGTTTAGATGTTTCCCTCTTTGTTCTGTCTTCAAACTAAACTAAGTGATTGCTGGCTGCAGCTTCTTATTTACTGGCACATACACTATGAGAGGGATATTATGCGAAGGGCCTGGGGATGACATACATTGTGAATTGGCGCTCTATAAACAAAGCTGAATTGAATATTCATCTTTACTCTAAAAAAAAAAAACAAAGCGATCATTTTCCAAAATGTCAAAGTATTTCTTAAAAAACGTGGTTGTAGAATTGCAGTGTAAAAGGCAGAACGATGAATTTTAAAATTACAAAAATCACACACTGGCTTTGATTAACATTTTGAAAGCTCTGCACGATTGAGTGAGTAGAATTGTCTGAGCAAATGATTGTCAAGAAAACAGATAAAACACAGGGAAATTAAGAAACACATTCATTATTTCGACGACATGTAAGTGAAAAAGAAAAGTGCAGTGAATCGTGAGGAAAAAATAGAGAAACACCAAGAGAACTATGTGACAACACAAAGTTTCCAGAAGATAAAAAAAAGTTAATAAGCACACTAAAAAGTAATAAGAGGATATTGCTAGACATATCTCCAAAAAAAGACCAGCGTCACCAATTCTGACTGCTCAGACTAAAATACATTTTGGATAGTTCATTTCTAATAATGACTGACGGATATTTTATTGCAAAGTTTGAAAGTTCTTGCACAAACAATCTCAAACACATTTTTAACTGAACATACAAGAACTACGGAGAGCCGATGCGCCGTTGGTTCACCTTTGAAAGGGAAATGTATAAATGAAGTGAACATACTGTCTTACTTCGCTGCTATTTGTCCACTAATAAAGGTCATATTGCTCTGGAAGTGTCAGGTCAGCTTTGTATCTCCAAGTGCTCCAAGTGGTATAGCGCTAACCTGTGACTTCTATTAATATACACAAAATGGAAGATGTAGGTCACAGGGTAGAGTGCTGTCTTGCAGATAGCCCCAGTTGGAGTTGGAGGCCTACCGTGAAAGTATAGGCCATCTGCTTCTCCCGGTCCACAGGTTTGAGCAGCCTCAGGTAGCGGATTATCCCGGTTGGGGTCAGGCCGAAGATCGTGGTGTAGTCATCCAAGGTAATCTTCACCATGGGGTCTTTCGACTTCCAACAGAAAGATATACAAAAAGATACGTGTTACCATGGTGACATGAGTGTTTCATCATTTTTTTCCTTCCCAAGGCCGCAGCTGTGGGGTTGAGAAAACCTATCACACAGTACATTTTGATCTGCCAAAGAGTTGAAAAGTAATCTGCTGTCAGGTCTCCCATCGGTCTTCAGAAAACAGCAGAGAAGGAACTGAGGATGGAACCTGTGAACCATTTTCTTTTTGGAATGACTGCATCAATAAACTAAAATCCCTTACAAAAACCATGAGAAGAAAGGAAAGAAGGAAATGACAGCACAAATTCATTATTACTCCTGTTCCAGTCATCAAATTCACGGTCTGTATTCATTCTGCAAATTACTGCCACGTCTTCATCAAAGATGTGACATCATTCCCATGTGAACAAATAAGCCTGAAGTCAATTATGGTCCATTGCTACAAGTCAGCTTCGATTCCTGTCCATCAATGAGGCCCCTTAAGAGGGTTTGGTAAACATCAAGACTGGTTGGCTTATTGATTTGGTTATCTCTGTTTCCACTCCACTTTGGAGAAGATTAAAACAATTCACAGACTGAGTATATTTGAAAGATGAGCTAAAGGTAGTGATCATTTATTTTGGCTGTGTGTGCGACAGTCATTTAAATCTAACTCCATCAGCGCAGTTAGTGTACGGAATTAAAAGCATTATCCACTGCGGTGGGTGAAGGCACACAAACATGCACGCAAAGGAAAAAAAACACATTTCAACTTGTCAGACAAATATGTCAACACACCCCGCTTGATCCAACTACACACACAACAATCAATCCATGAAAGAGTTGATATTCAAAGAGAAAATTTGATGAATTTTGTATTAAGCAAATGCAGGAAATCCACAAAAAAAACACTCCAAAAAAAGGAAAACACTCCAAACAAACACTCCTATTAGGATACAAAAGTCACTGTATCAGCTAGAAAAATCCACTCACACCGCCATCATTACCAGAGACCTGCTTTGATTCATTACTTATGAAATTCTGAAGTAGCAAAAAACCTATAATTTCTGCTACAAATGATCTTTTTTTCTCCAAAACAGAACTTCAAAGTTGATAATAACGAGTTGAGGGTGTCTCCAGCAGTGATGGATGTTCTCAATTTGTTTATGCTTCTCCCAGAGTGATGCATGCATTAACAGTAGGGATGTCCTGAGTCAATTTGCAGGGAAGGGACAGGGCCGCTCATGATTTCTTATTGTTTTAAATGGTTCAGTATTGGCAGTGTAAAGCGCTACAGGTGTGGCAGCTGTCAAAGCCACCTGATTTGAATATGAACAAAGTGGGCAAACAAACAGCAGACATCAGTGTAAGTTAATGAACTGCACACTGACATTGTGCCACAGCGGGCAAAGCGAGTACCTTTCAATTATAGCAAACAAACAAAATAGAAGAAATGCATTTAACCTTCAGCATTCTGTTCAAAGTGGAGATCAAGAGAAGTCTCTAATGGTATTATACAAAAACAATAATAAAAAAAAAATCCCTGAGACGCTATAACAATATATTGTAAGAAACCAATCAAGGCTGTGACGCAGGTCATGAAATCCCTGAATTACAAATGCTTTACTCATATCAATACAGGCTCACTACTTCAGTGTGCACAGTGCAGCTGCATTATGCAGGAAAATATAAATATTGGATTAAACTCAATACTCAATATTTAAAATGACTCATATGAGAGATTAAGAGGAAAAAAATCTGGATCAGGACATCCCTTTGTTACACTGTGTGTATGTGATTGTGTGCCACTGCATCTAAAAGCAGCCCCTTTACCTACAGGTGTATCACCAGGATCCAGCTACAACAAGGGAAAAAAAATACAGCAGGAAAACCACTCATGAACATGTTACTTTCTGCGACTAGACAACACAAACACATGAATAAATGTGGATCTTAAATCAATGTTTAATCGATGCACTATAAGCTCTTTGTGTTTGTGTGCACACATGCATGGATGGGTATGTGTAAAGTGCAGGCAACAGTGAGTTCAGGCAGAGCAAAGGCTCTCTTTCTCTCTCTCTACCTCCTCAATGTCATTATCCAAAGCGATGATTCCCAGGGGGACAGTAAGGTTGGCACTGGCTGAGATAGTTGTACCCACTGGGGAGGACTCACTCACGTAGCCCTGATAGGTGGCAAACTGGAAATACGGTGCCTGGTTGTTCTCATCCAGTATTTCAACAATGAGGTCGGCAAAGGCTGGGAGGGGATGACCATTGTCCTGTTCAGCCTGAAAAAGAAACAGAAGCAAACAAAAGAAAAAAAAAAGAACAAAAGAGGAAAGTCGCAGTGTGAAAAATGTTATATCAACATGACTACTCGACTGTAAAGTTACACTGTCCCAACTGTTCTGCAGGCACAGGGCTAGAAAGGCGTAATTTCTCCGAGTGTCATTTCAATTACAAAAAAGCTACATTGACTAAATTTAATCAGGGATCCACTTAGGATTAGGACTTAGTAATTACCAGGGCACTTAACGCAAATACCATCATTTGTACGAGAGACAGTAATTAGTAGCTCTCCTACTTTGTCAAATGAGTGACCAGTAATAGAAGGAGGCTCATTGAGAATATTACTAACTGAGTCGATGCCAAAATTAACCACTTAACTATTAAACGACTGTGCTAGCGCTGCTTCCAGGTCTGTTTTCACTGCCGAGTGCGAAAACACAACTTGAGGGGAATCTGTGTGTTTCTGTACGGCGCTGTTTTTCCTCTGAAAGCTCCAGAATGAACCAGGGACACAGTCTGATATGATAAAATCCCCACTGACGCCTCATCTCTTCAGCATGCTAATATCCTTCTCCAAAAGCAGACATGCAGTTTCCCAGCCATGGAACAGAGCTCACTGAAATGTCACCTTGCAAGACTGCTAAAGAAAACGATGTGGGATGAATAGCAAAGATAAGATTGCTTCATCAGATATCAGTCAGCACCTCAGAAAAAAAAGCTAAACATTCTTACGACATACAAATCAACAGGTTTTGTCTCAATTTGTGAAACACTACAAAATTCAAGAACATGCAGCGTGACTAGACATCACAGACATCACAACACAGCTCCCATGGAAATCCCTAGAGCTGTACACTCACAAAAATCGCATCAGTGAAACACGGACCCGCATTTAAAACGAGTTTGCAATTGTGTCACGCAGTATGAAGCACGCATTAAACTTATCTGTAACAATCACTGGAATGCAAACATTCCTCCCACTCGCAGGATTGTTGGTGGTTGACACGGCTGCTTCCGTGACATGTTACCACAAATCAAAATGTGTGTTGTCTCAGCTGTTCAAACTGCAAAAAAAAAACAAAAAAACACCCAAAGAAGCTGTACTCAAATCCAAGTTGCATCTAACGCTACCGCAACCGAGTCAGACCGAATCAAATGAATGTGGTCTGGCCAGGCTGTCACTGCAATCTTTCCCCTCCTAAGCACATATGCCACTATTGCCTCCCACACTGGGATGCTTCAGAAACATTAAGGCTGTGAAAATACAGATGGAGAGGGGGGACTGAGGCGACATCAGTTTAAGCCATGACCTGGAACTAATTCTGCACATTAGCTCGATTTCACTGGGCTCTCGTTGCAGAGTGCCGATTGTAACAGAAGAATATGCTTGTGATGCTAAACGGTAAAGCGCAGGGTCCAAAAGACTCTATAATTTCATGTTTGTTGTCTTGTGTGTGTGTACTCTGCTGTGGAAGACACTTTAGCACACTTTTGGCGTTTCCAGCAGAGTTTTCCTCCAGCTGAGATTCACACCTGTTATTATTTCCATCACAATGTCATACCAGACTATGTTTCCTGAAAATCTTCTACCTTTTTTTTTCCCCTTATCTGAGTGATGATAAAGAACACCCACACGCTGCTGACCCAGAGATCCAATCTGCTCACACAAACACCTGGGGGAAAAGTGCTGTCATTGACAGACATAACGTGTGTGTCCCTAGATGTTCTCGCTTTTTTCTTGACATTCACACACATTTCTGTCTGAGAGAGAAAAGACAGGGTGTAGGATTACAGTGCTCCCTGGTGATTTTGCTCTTTAGTGGTGTCCCTATTTCAGGGAGGCACTGCTAAATGACCTGCTCCCCATCGCTACAACACACAAGCCTGGAGGAGATTCAATGCTTCCAAAAGTCCCTGTTTATCACTCAATCTTGATTCTCCCACCTTGATTCCATCATCCTTAAAGTGTCATACTGTATATCTTCTTTGGCTTTCTTTTGTTTTTCTTCTATTTCCCTGCACTATTTATCTCTATCCCCACCTGCCTTTACCACTTGTCTTCATTTTATCCCAGCCATATTGGTGGATGCGCCTCCATCAGGATCAGTGATGACTTTAAAAGAACAACAGATGTGTTTTTCTAAAACATGCTCAAGAGTCTGCAGCTCATTTCAGCAATAGCTCACTGAAATCATTAGCTATGTGCACCGCATACTGTGCTGTATCAGTGCACTCTCAAGATACCAAAGTCTAATTCTCACTTTGCTACTCCTCTGAGTCCTCGAGCAATGGTTCCTCCCCCTCTCTATGAGTCAGGTAGATAAAGCTCATACCATCCTCCACGCACATCTCTCTATCTATCTCGGTCTTTTCCTGCCTCCCCTTTGAACCGTTTCCTTTCCTCTAGCTATGCACAATCCTCCCAAAGTCATGCAAAACGCCTCTCATACGATCAGCCTCCCCTTCCTCTTTTGGATGGTCTTCCTCTCATCTCTTTGCTCCCCAGCTATCCAAGTAAATAGCAGGTTACACAGTGCTCAGAGGTGTCTGGAGGTTAGTGATGGGTAGAGGGAAAGTTCATCTGCACTGCTGCTCTGCACCAGCAGCACCGAGGCAATCCTTGCTCTAAATTAGGATTCATGAGAGCGCAGCAGCCTATCCTCCTGCTAAGTCCATAAATCATAACATCTTTTTCACTCCCATCTCCTAAGCAGCTAGAGATAAGGTTAATGGCCTTCAGGACTGAGGTTATCTAGGTAGAGCAGGTAAGGGTGCATGCTAAAAGTTATCCAGATATTACTTAAACTTGATGCGAGAAAATTAAAAAAATAAAAAATGGAAGAGAATTGAGATGTTGAATAAAACATATTTGTTTGCCTAATGAGGAGGAAGCAGAGCAATCAATACTATACCTGAGGCTGAACTATGAAAAAGATAATCAGACTTCATTATGTTTGGTAAAAGTTTCTGCAAATTGTGTTTTCTTTTTTTTTTCTTAAATAGTTCTGCAGTACTGTGCACTTGTAAAAGTTCACTACAATATTATAAATTGTTGTCATTTTAGTTTGCTATAATTCTTCATATCACATTACATTGTGTCACAGTACAAGTCTTACAGGTGGAGTCAAATAAGTGCTGACTCTGACAACGCCAGATGTCCTCATATCGCTTACCTTGATGATGAGCGTGAACCTTTGATACAAGTCTCTGCTGATCGGCTGCAGGACGAGCAGCTCTGCAGTGGTTTTATTCAGGGAGAAATAGGCTGGATATGCGGCCGGATGACCTGCAGTAATGAACAGGAATGTTTACAGTACCGTGAAGAACACAAGCATGGCATACTTATCCAAACCCAAGAGCAAAAAAATGTGTGAAATTGGTGAAGATGGGTGTTGAACCTACCAACCAGGATGTAGTAGAGAATGCCCGGTCTGTCTGATGGAGGCTGGATGTTTCTGTCCATGTCCACAGCCCGGATTGCCGGGGTCACATTCAGTGGGTTAAGCTTGCTCTGCAACGAGGAGTGGTGGAGCCGGTCAACAATACAGCTACACAATCAGATGCAAATCCATTTATTTTCCGTTGTTTGCGTAGTTGCACACATGTTGTCTTTGAAAATATCTTTCGTGAGACTGGAATCTTAGTGTGGTCGAAATTGAAAAAACTCTGCTTTAAAAAAAAAGATTATTTGGCCCAGAAAACATGTTGTGTGCTATATATTAATATTTTGGCTGCTGCATAATCTTATATAATGTGCTGTACATCCCTTGCAACTCTGCTCCTCCAAATAAAAACAACACTCTCCAGAGGAGCTGCTTTGGACTCTCCGCTTGGCCCATAAAAAATGTTTTCTGCTTTTGAAAGGGGATAAGAGGAGCTGCTGTCATCGGGTATTGCCTCATCTCCGGCTGATACTGTGTTTCACCTACTATTAATGTTATATTAATAGGCTGAACGTTGTAATTGTGGAGTGTCGTCCCAAGATTGCTCTTGTGCCTCTGGTCACCAAAACTACAAAAAAATTTGACGTGTTCTTCCCCCACACTTGCACCCACACGTCTTCCCACTTTAAGGACAAGTAGAAGCTAGACATCATACATAATGTGGTATATATTAAAAAAAGAAGCCTGCAAACACTGACTATCAGTACTTGTAAAACATCAAACAGTTCTGATATCCACCTAATCATCAATACTCCCGATGTAGGCCACTGCCTTAGCAGCTCTAATCCATAGTACACTGGGCAATTATTAGGGTACTTATTTAATAAACCAGAGCTTTTTTCAATATATTTCTCATCAGCATTCTTCTAAATATGGCTAACAGTGGTGCACATCAAGGATAATCTGTTCGTTGTGCTTTAGGCTGGTGCTCCCGCTCATGCATAGACAGACATCATTGGAACTAATTACCTCAGCTCTGCCTTTACACTTTTGCACCGGCATATGGTTAAGTGGGAATATGTTTAGCACATCACATTTAAGAATACCTCTGCTCATGCAAAATGCCTCCATATGGCTGATACAGTATATGCAAGCATGCTAAGAGGGCTGTGCCGAACTTCCTGAGCGGAGACAGGCACATGGCTAACAGCTCTCTGGCAGAAGAATCCCTCCCTGAGGGGGTATATTTATATCCCTCAGCTCTGGAGTAATCCTTACACCCCTCCCCAACCAGCCCCCTCGCTTTTACAATGTCTGGAGGTGCGCTAAATCAAATCCCCCTAGCTCTGCACAATGATGATTAGCTATAATACCCTCCTCCAGCAGTCATTATCCAGGGGACTCCAGAGCCCAAATTATATCCCCGAGGGCAAAAAATAAATACAGATCAACTTAATAATGCCTGTCTAACCATTGTGATTAATTATAATACACTCATCAATTATAAGAAGACAAATCTCCCAGTGGACAGACATGTTAGCATAATGGTTACACTGCAGAATGGAGAAAAATCAGACGAGCAAAAAATGACAGAAAATTGCAAAGCTAATGTGGGTCCTCCTCAGCGACACTGTTGTGTAATCTAAATGTACACTGTTTAAAGTGGGTAAAAAAAAGTATATATGAGTTCAGTTTTATGAAACAGACTTAATACAAAAGCAATATTGTGTAAAAATATTACATGTACAGAGGAGACCTTATTTTAAGAGACATGTAAGAATATACGATAAAGGGTAAAGGTCACTGTAACATCTATTGATGTGACGCTTTGAGAGAATGAAACTGCCAAACAGGAAGAAATACTTCTCAAATGAAATGACAAATGTAGCTGGCGCTCCCAGGTCCTGCATACTTAGCAGTCTGCAAACCTTTTAGCATAAATTATACATTACATGGGCAAACTCTGAATGGAAAGTGTGGGCAAACAACTGAGAGTCCCCTCAACCACAGCCAAAGATATGCATATGCAAATAATATTGTATAAACGCACAATGTACATGTAGGTACATTTTTCTGTCACCAGCTCTGTAGACGTCAGTCCACAACTTTTGATTTTCTCACACTGTCAGTATATCGTATATTCTCACTGTGTCTCTGCTGCAAGCTTTTGTGTCATTTAGTCTCTATCTCTCTCACTCTTTCAGTTCAATTTAATTTCAATTCTGTTCATCTCCCGTCTTGGAAACATGTCACCCCAGTACACTTAAGCCACACTTGATGCAATCTTTTCCCAATACTGCTTGAGAGCTCAGCTAAATGCATGCCATAATTTCATCACACTCGAGCTGGTTAAAGTGTAAGTTGGTTTGCCAATTTACAATAAACAACAACAACAACAAAAACAAAAGAACTTGGCAGTTTTGCAAAGCAATACCTCCCATTAGAAAAACGGAAATGTTCCGACACTGCAGTAAATCCATCACATTAACCCCCATACCACATAAGACAAACACAGAGGAATCAAATGCAAAACTGGCAAGGATGTTCACATTTTTTAGCCAATTTAGTGTTTGCAATTCACTCCTCATATACTGAGTGTTTCGACTGTGGGAGGGAACCGGAGTGGAGAGAATTCAACACCCAGCAGGACCCCTGCTGAGATTAAAAACCTTCCTGCTCTGAGGATGCCACAATACCAAACATAATTTAGTCCAATGCAGTAAATCCCATCCAAAGCAGACTACTCCAGTCCAGTCCAACTCAATCTAACAGTTAAATCCAATCCAGTGTAGTCTAAACTACTAATGAGCAATACATGATACAGTTGAAACCTCCACAATAGTCACTACCTGGACCTCCAGGAGATTGTTTTGTTACTTGTGTAGTCCGATTCAGTAACTGTGCTCGATTCAGTTTGAATCACCTCAGTTCACTCTAACAATCATTTCACGCCTGGAAAACACAGCTCATATAAATCTGATTTCTAAATGAATTAATGAACTATGTAGAAATTAATACAATCTCCACTGGTATACCACTTGTTCTTTTTTCCCCCCTCAGAGTCTTTAGCTCTTATTTTCAGCTGCCAAACCACCTTCCACTCTTTTTCTCTAGCTTCTATGAATTCCAGTGGTGTTTAGCTGTCATCCCAGGTCAGCTCAGCCTTCAGCTCTAATTGCTGGCACAACGGACCAGAAAATGCCCCTGGAATTGCCACGCTAAGATAAAACAGCAAAGCGTACTCTGCCTTCAGGTGAGGAGGCAAAGACAAGGTGCAAGCGGACAATTAGGATATTTAAAAGGTGCGACATTAACATTTAACAGCATTTTACACATGCAGCACAAATGTATCACAAATCTGAATCATAAATACAAAATGCCTGCACACAGAATGACAAAAACACAACCAGAGTGCAAATATGCACATACTATTAACAGGAGAAACCCTGTTAAAATGACCTTGTGGAGCAGCGGCGTGTTCACACTCGCCTGTCTGCCTGGTTCTTACCGGCTCAGTGAATTCTGGGATGGCAACGCGGTAGGTGATGGGGTTGCAGTCGCGAGTGTTGTTGACCAAAACACAGGGAAGGAACATGGGACCCAGGTCGTCCCCATCCAGAACATCCACGGTCAGAGTGGTGGTGGCTGTTAGTCTGTTCGGGCTGTATGGAGCGCGGTCCTGGAAGATGATATAAATGCTTTCAATTTCAACCTTCAAACTCTCACAAGATTTGTTACTTTGTGCACTGGGGCAACACACTGCTCAAGCTAAAATCAATAAAACATGTTAAAGCCATAACAGATCTCTGCAGCTGTTGTCCAGCATATATTACAATGTGGGCTATTATGGAAGCTCACAGTCATGCCGTCATTCTGTATTCGTTCTTTATTTGCTTGTCTGTCTGGCAGGATACAGGCGGCATTTTTTTTTTATTATGGTATAAAAAAGAGCATTATTGAAATACTTTCAAAATGTTCTTTTCAATGAAAAGGTCAGGTGAGTGTGCTGTTACCACAGCGGGTCATAATCACAGCTAAATAACACATTTGTTATTTAAATGCAATAAAGAAAACTTGTGCTTGTTCAAAAATAGTGTTTTTTTGAATGCATGGTTTACCTATTACAGTATAAATACGTTGGTTTATTTTTAAAGCATCACGTTAGATTAAGCCAGCTGTCTGAGCTGCTTAAGATCTTCAAATTCATCTCCTTGGCAGACAGTTTGACAAGCAGCAGTCAGCTAAAAAGCCATCCAAAACGGAAGAGATGTTAGGATGTAAACAATATGTCCAACATCAGACCACTTTAAATCAGACTGAGCAACACTAATCCTCTCCATCCGATGAAACCTGTTTTTTCTTCAGAAAAAATGCTTCTTGGCAATAAAACATAAACAGCAACACAAAAGTTACCCTTAAAAATTCCCAGTGGTGGTACTGTTGCATCCCAGAGTGGTGCGCTGAGGAGTGAGCAGCTCAGCACTTCAAAGATTTACATTCTCAGTCTAATTGAACTTGTGACACAGGCAGTGCAGAGTTCTAGTAAATACCATGTCTTCTTCCTTTCTCTGCTCTGACGTTCTTTGGCAAGAGAAAATGAAATCTCCCTGGAGGACCTCTTGCCAGCCTAAAGAGTTGAGCCTTTTGCTCTCTCATGCAGGAAATGGAAAGAATAGGAGATGGGTTGACTGCTAAATGATTATCTGTCCTGTAGCATTTCAACTCTTCTTTTTCTTCGTATAGAGTGTTATATTTGACCACTGCCTGTGAGGGGTGTGCAATCTGTAAATGAGAAAAAGGATTTTAATAATATGGAGCTGGATAATCAGGCTCTATATTGGAGACTCCTACACAAAAAGGCCTTGAAACATCCAGCACTGCCCATATAGGCATAAAGAATTTTAAGATGCCAGTGTGGGTGTTGCTCTAATTAATATCAAATTCTTGGCCAAAAGCTTCACAGGTCAACAGATATTTGCCACCCTGAGGGTACCACTGGGATTACTTGTTTTACAATATTTTTACATGTTGTCTTGTGTGAATGTCGAGTAAAATGTTCTCCCCCGTGTAAAATCCATATTTAAGTTTCCTCCTATAGGCAAAGCAGCCCTGCTATAAACACTCTGGCATGTGCAGTGTACGGACTTGAAGTCAAAGCAACAAACATATTGACTTCACGTTGAAGCATCTACAATAACTACAAGATCTGCACATCCTAAGATATTGATTTAGTGGCATTATGAGTTCATCACCCTCAGTGCTGTAGCGTACCGAGGAGCAGAACAACAGGTTTACTGCACGAGGCATCAGAGACTAGTCGGACGTCAAATTGCAGGATCTCTCTCACACGGGGACGAGGCCTTCTGAGAGACTTCTATTCGTATGAAACATTCCTTCCCTGCATCAGGTAACAAACTGGTTGGATGTTTACAGCCAAAAAGACAATTTAATGCCTTCTTGGAGATAAGAGGACATCTCCGACCAACCAAAAAAAGCCATTGGGTTCTCAAAGTGCAATTTCTACAACTCCACAGAGCTGTTGAGCAGAAAAGGTTGCGTTCCTCTCTGTGACCTCTTGACCTTCTTCTCCTTCGAACACTCAGAACTTTGTACATAAGACTAAACTGAATAGTTTGAAAGTGAGGAAACGCTACCATCACCAGAGTAGTAGTAGTACTCAATAATAAAAACATAAATGCCGGCCTACACACACTCACAAGAGACACACAAACAGCACCTTCTGTAACATTCATAAAAGACAGAGAAAGACTTTTACCGTAAGCATAGATGCTCTATAAGTCTTATTTCCCCCATTGTTGAATATATATGCTTGTATTCCTACGTATATTACAAGCTTGTTATCATGTATGACAGAATTTCATAATTTATTTTTACTCCGTTTAATACTATTTCAGGAACAGTGCAAGAAAAATCTATTGTGCTAGATCTCTTTCTATTCAACAGTGCAGCAGGCTCCTAGAGCTGTAATCCTGATAGCTAATAGGAAATTATTTTAAAGTCAGTTGGAAAGATATTTGGTCTCAAACCTCTTAAGGACAGAAGATAGAGGGCCAGCCGTGATTGGTTAAATATAGATCTGAATTTTGCTCCAAAAGTTTCTTTATAAAGGTTAGTAACTGGAATGAAATGTGAGGCTTTTTCACCTTTAACTCTGCGGCTTTTAACTTTTACTAGGGGCTTTTTAACTAGAGGGGCTTTTTAGTTTGTAACTTGGGGTTCTCTTCCGGCCAAATGGACCAAAGCCCAACTTAAAACCAGCAGATCTTTTTATCCCAAAACCTCCTGCAGCTACTTCAAAGGCTAAGCAAGTATTACTTTTTTTTTTCTGCTAAGCGGGTAGATTTAGAAATTACAATTGGCTTCTTAATTCTAAAGTGATTCTACATTTATCACAGCAACCTAATCGTTGGATTTCTTACCTGTTGCATAATTTTATTACCAAAACCTGCATGCATTTATCCAATGCCGATAGTGTTGTGTTGCAATTGAAACATTATTGGATCTTGGTAGAAGTATTTAATCAATGTTTGTGGAATGAATATAGGTCCTGCTGTATTTTTTATTTTTTTTAAATCTGATTAGAGGTCAGTGATTTTTGATCGTAAGATTGATCAATGTAATCAAATTAGATGAATCTCAATAATTCAATCCTAATATTCTTGTCCAGCTAAAGGATCTGATGGTGTCTCTGATTTTAAATAAGTGCATTTCAATCAAAAGGTAATTACGCTGCATTGTCAAGACTGAGCCTAAAAAAAAACCCATGTACAAATCAGTGCATATTTATAACTGAGTAATTAACACTTGTTGTCAAAAGTGGTTGTGCTTGTGCAAAATTAGGCCACTTACATTGGCTTGGACCAAAACCAGGTAGCGAGTCCTCTCCTCATAGTTCAGCCTCTCTGCCAGAATAATGTATCCTGACAGGGTGTTTGCGACACTTACTGTCCTGTTAGAATCCTGAAAGAGAGATGAAAGGACAGAGAGAAAGGTGGAGCAATAAGTCATGATTGGTGAAGAAATTTACAGCATTGTAGAGGGTAAGTTTATTATGGTGTGACTTGTCTATATACCGGGTCATTGGGGTTGTAAAGAACGCTGTATTCTATATGTCCGTTGGGCCCGTCATCGATGTCTGTGGCGCCATTATTTCCTGAGAAGCCCGTGAAAATGGTCGTTCCAACCGGTGTGAGCTAGACAAAAATAGAAGAGTTGTAAAAAGAAACGTCAAACAGTCCCCCGTGAATACAACATCAACTTAGAGCCGAGAGCCCGCTCATATGGCTATTACTGTTGCCACTCTATGCCATTAATACACAAAAAAAGGAAAATCAAACAGAGAAAATGTTGCAGTCAGCAGCAGTCTGAAGGCTTACGTGCACCACTGACAGAATAACAAAAAGTAAGTATGAGAACTACTGCTGTTCCCCAGAGCCCTCAGCAAAAAGTCCACAGGACCAGGCAGCGGGCAGGAGATCTTGTTCAGGGGAGTTGACAGCAATGGAGAATGACTCACTGTACTGTCGGGCCAGTTGCATATGGCTATGATAACACTCTGTGACAGTAATTTCAAACATGCAATGTACACAAAGTGTAACCAAAGGTTGCCCAGGATTCAGCTGGGGAATTATCACCTCGTCTAAAAAAAGAAAAAAAACATATGACTGTAATGTCAGAGGGTTTGATGTATTGTCTTGAATCATTGCAGGTTTGCTTTGGAGGGAAAATGTTTTCCTGTCCGGTGCTTACAGATACATATATATGTATATATAGCTGAATGCAGAGCAAGCTGCCACAAAATTCCCAAATGTTCTCCTGACCTGTCGGCTTGTATGAGCCAGCTCATCCATAGTGTGGAGATAAATAAGACTGGGATGTTACATTGCAAAGAAATATTGTAAAAATATTTACGCTGCAATCATTACTTAAACGTCCAGCTAACTAGAAACTAATGATCACCCTCAGTTACATTAAGTCAACACCTTCAATTGACTCTTCAAGACCATTCTGCACCAGTGGGCTCGGGCATTAAGCAAACTATGTGTGGGATTTGAAAATGGCTTATTTAAGAAAGCAAATTTAAACAGCAATGGATGCCACTTCATTGCATTTGTGGGATCTGTTCCAGGGACACTGAGATAAATGGGTTGAAAAGAATAATATAATACTAATACTGGCTCATTTTTCAACCAACACAATCAGAATAATTAGCAGTTGCGACAAGCAGCATTAATATTCCCAACACTGTGACTTAAGTTACAGAACCAACCAGAAGAAGAGCCTCCTTACCTCGTTTACTGCAACGTAGTAGCGTGGCTGCTGAAAGCGAGGGCTGTTGTCGTTCCTGTCCCTCACAATAATCCGTACTTCGTGCAAAATGACGGTACCAACCAGCTTATTGGTGCACTGGACCTGAACTACGATGGTGCTGATGGAGTTGGGGGGCTGAGAGAGAGGAGAGACGGACGTACAGTTGACTGGGGTTCATAATTAAAGTATCCTACATTTTCCAAATAACAATAAGCATACGGAGATAATAAAATGAAAGCCACACTATTCAGTCCTCTTGTTAATTATTGTGACTGCATAGCACTGTTGTAAACAAATCATGGCTATTGTTGTTTGATATTTTATGCTGCCCTGTGCAGCCTGATTTTTCTTTTTAAGTATTACATGTAAGAAATTATTTAAATGTGATCAAAGAGCCCTGAGCTGTGTGCCATGTTCTGTTCAAATGCACTGTATAGCAGCAGCAGCAGCTTATCCTATTGCTACCCCTACTTGTCAGACATCATCTGAATTTAGCAACAAGGGTGAACATGCCCTATAGTGTAATGCAGCCCAGCTAGCCTCTCTCTCCTCCTCGCATTTCATTTGTTAAGGTTTGCCTCTTTATGCGCTCCTCCTCTGCTGTCATTCCTCTGAACTATGTTTCTGAGATATTCCCATTAATAGCGTCCCATCCATCTCTCTCACCGGAGACCACGTGATGAAAACAATAACACATTTCACTTGTATAGCACCTTTCATAACACAGTGCTTCACAACAAGCAAAATAAAAACACAATCTAATAAAATGACAATAGGATAAAAGCCTCATAAAAAGAGCATTAAAACAAATAAAAAGTATAGAAAGCTGTGCCTTAAAAGTGATAATATCTTAAAATTCAATCCAAAATGGTTTTTAAAAAAAAGCTATAACAGCAGCATGTGTAACCCCCTCCTACCAACATCTTCTATTCTATTCTGTACCGTTTTCATTGATTAGTATTCACTTCAGGTTCACTGGACACTCTGGAGAAACTAAAATGAACATATTATGTACAGATACAGCCACTCCTATCTGCATGTTTGCATTTATTATTCACTGTCTATATTTACCACCAGGGGGTGAATTGTAATGCCATTCGAACACAAATCACCAGCAGCTCTGTTGCTACATTACACAGAGCGTCCATTGTGAATTTGTATTTGTATTTAAATGAAGGCACACTGGGATAATAGCAGAGGGTAGAAGATCGTAGATGTATTGATGACTTTGATGCAATCTGCAAAATGTAAGTTTCAGTTAGATCATTTCTTTTGTCTCTTATGCAAAAAAAATCCCATTTAGTGATGATGGGTAACATCTGCATTCTCCCACATAAGGGGGCATTTGAGGCGTCATTTGACTTTTTTTCCTGCACGAAATAGACAAATCGTGTGCCATCTACTTCAGTCAAGAGGAAAAGGTTGGTATAACGGAGAGCTATGATGGAAGAACTGCAAATGACACGAGAGAGGAAAGCTGGTAGAAAACTGTATATTTATTTTACAACTTCTGTCTAATGTGACAGCTGCACATTAGAGCTCTGAAACTTTGAACTTCTCACATTTAAACGCAACACTCAAAAAGTGCATTTAGGTCTGACACTGTCCCGTAATGAAGGATGTGTGAAAATCATTTTAGTTTTTGGCAAAAATCAAAGTGGAATTAATGTTATTGATTGAATATTCTCTGTGATCAGTTTTCTAATCTGTGTTCTGTTAGCTGCGATGCTGGCAGTGTGGGAAAAAAAAGGACTTGGCAGCAAGTCAGGACCAAACATAAAAACATATTTTATTTTATTTTTTTTACATCAACAATTCAATGAATGTAGGTTTCCCTGGCAACACAATGCATGCAGTTAGTCTACTGTAGCTGAATGGATTTGTTCAGCAGCAGTGTTAATGTACAGCTCAACAGGTTTGCAGGTAGAACGTGTTCCCTCAGCTGAGAATCTACACCAGTCATAGAGAATAAGGTTAGGAAAACCTCTCCTATACTCACGTCTCTGTCCAGTACGCGTCCGGTGCTGTTGAGGTAGAGTCTCTGCCGTGCTGGTTCCAGTATCACCCAGTAGTCGTAGTTGTCCAGCAATGTGAGCGTGATGGTTCTGCGTGGGTCTTGGGCACGGCCATTTATCTGCATGTTTTCCACCAAAACCGTACCTAGAAAAGGCAGAGCAGTCTCCGTTTAATGAATGGATCTGTTGTAGAAGAACATCCACCATCACAGTTTGATTTTTTCTAGTTAGCGACCTTGTTGGTAGAACTAAAGGAGTGAAACAGGTTTTCTGAAACGAGATCATCAACATATCAACATCATTAGCGGTTCATTAACACTTTGTCTGTTTAATTTGCTTAATTTTGTACTCTTTTGGTAAAACTTAAGGTAAAAACAAACAAACAAAAACAAAACTTGAATTCCCTCCTGCAATGGCTATTCAACAACTGCCTCAGACGACTTGGGAAATACAGTCTCAGATCTCTGTGGACTGGTACACATCCTATTTAGGCAAATCTCTCAAATCGATAATTGTCATCCTTGGGGGGAACCAGTACCTACTGGTTTATCCTACACAGCTTTTAATCAGTAACTAATTAAACTTTGCCACAGCAGCCCTCTGGGACAACACTCCCAGAGCCAGTTAAATGTGAGAATTGCCTGACTCCTAAGTGGCCAAACAAGTGGATTTATGAAACAACTGTTGGTTTACTAAAAGAAAAGGAGCTAGCAGCAAATGCTACTTCTAACTGCCCCCAACTCCCTCCAGTTACTCAAGCCATGTGCTGTTTTATTTAGAGCTGCAAGCACCCATAAAATATTACTGAAAAAATACCAGATTCAGAGGGATGACACTGACTGGCCAAGAAACTAAGGTAAACAATACTCAGAATGTGATCCAGTGAATCACTGCCTATGTTTACTGAAGTGTGGTGGAACGAGAAGCATTTGTTATTAAAGGGCACAAATATAATAAAGGTATTGCAGCTGCATTGAATTGTCTCATCAGGATAAATTTATCAACCATTTTCCTATCAAAAGCTAGCGTGAATATCAGGAAATGTAATGACTGTTTGAAGCACACACACATTCACTGCTACCATCTTGACCAGGGGTTCTCAACTGGTGGGTCGCGACCCAAAAGTGGTTTGTGGACCTGTTCTGGGTGGGTTGCGGACAGCTGGTCAAAATTAAATAATATATAATGTGCGTCTCAGGTTGCCCTTCTTTTTTATTTTGAACGAACTTTTATTTTGACAGACACGGTAACTATAGTTTGTTTGACGTTCATTTTAAGTTTGTGTTGCTGTTGCTGTTAGTATGAAAATGTTGATTTTCATACTAGGGCTGGACCCAAATGGCCCACCGCCGCCGATACAGCAGTGTGACCGTCAGTCGGACCGAAAGCTCAGCTAAGCATGATCTGAGAGCAGCTCTGTCTACTGTCACCCCAGACTTTGAACCTCTAATCAAGAGTAGAGCACGTGCCCAACTGTCTCATTAACTTCAACAAATGACCTGATTAGGCCAAAACTTCATTTTCGAGTACTTTCGATATTTATTTTATTCACTTTTGTACATGCAGTTGTCATGGTCCTCCTTAGTTTCTTATTAATTTGATCAAAATGGAGTGAAAATATGTTGTTTTGTGGCCTTTTTTATAATTTTGTGCAGTTTTGTACACGCAGTTGTCATGGTCCAGTTACTATGCATGGTTATATGCTCTGAAATGCATGTTGCACAGGAAAATATATTGAATATTGAATCCTAAAAAGAAGTGGGTCGCGACTTAATGACGATGGAAAAATGTGGGTCCCAGGGTGAAACCAGTTGAGAATCCCTGACTATCAAAAACACAGACAACACCTTCATTTTTTTATTTTTTATTTTAAACAACAGCTAATGGTAATCAAGCAGTACACAGGAGTGCTCTGATTGTTCAGCCATCAAGTCAGCAGAAAACACAAGTTAAAAAGCTTTACACGAAAACTAGTCCTCCTCACGACTCGTGTAAAGAATCTGTTCGCTGCGTTAATTTGAATTTCCAACATGCAGCTTGTTGGTGCTCTTAGTGGGCATGCCTCAGTTAGCAAAATTTACAGGCATAAGTAGCTCATTTCACAACCACTATAATACTCCTTTCATCTCAGCGCAGGATGACAGTGCATTCATAAAAGGAGGAGAAGCGCATAAAGCTGCCAACATCACCACGGGCTGAACCATCAGTTAAGAGTTCAAGGACGTGCAAACTCACAGCTGCCAAACATTAAAAAAAAAAAAAAAAGTTCTTAAGTATTCTGTGGTTTTTGTTTTGATATACTGACTTTTTTTTTTTTTTTACCTCAATCCGTCTCCGTTCAACACATTTTACATGTAATCAACACCATGCATCAAATCAGCATAAACTAGTAAACCTAACCATGTTGAAATACCGTCAGAACTAAACACACTTGACATGCCTTGCTACTCCGCCAGCTGTAAAACTTAAGAGGGTGGTGGTGGTGTTTATGGGCTTTTTATTTTCCGTCCCTAACATCTTGTACTTTATCATTTCATTGAGCAGGTTTAGTCCTTTAGTCATTAGTCACTCAGACTCTCAGATATTCAAGAGGGAGCACAGATGGAGGTGTGATGGAAGCTTTTGCATTATAATTATAATACCCACCGCTGCATTTTTATGCTCTTTTTAATGACTGCGCTTCTTGTTTGCAGCAGTCAAGGTTTGATGCATTCGTGTGTTGTGATCACAAGGACCAATAATTATCTGTCTCACTAGGGCTAAACTCCGTCTGAAAAATGGTTCTTCGAAGAATTTAATTTAAAAGTCAAAAGAGCCCCCTGTTGCTGGTTCATTAATCTAAAACACCGCTTTTCATAAATATATTTGCCTCGGTAACTTGAGTGGGGGAGCTACATCTTTTTGAAACTCTCAGGTTGTAAATTACGCCGCTGATAATATTACAAGGGAGGGCGCAGAGAGTCTCCTTTCTTTCTCAAGTTAATTGAACTCTGCTACAACAGCCAATACTCCCACTGTTCTGGGCACTTCCACTCTCAATCTCAGTCGCGCGGCAAACTTGTCGTCCTCATCAGTCAAACAAGATGCCAGATGCCACATGCTGTACACTTCATTTCTAAATAAATAAAATAACTCTCATTAGTAGCCTGCGGATCAGTCAGTGTCGTCTCCGGTCAGAAGCGCCTCTGATCTGGGCTTCACAGCGGACGAACTCCACAGAGACAACAGAGAGGGCTCACTTTTATCCCAAATATCAATGATGCTGGCATCCATTGATGATGGCAGCAGATAAGTGTGGAGGCTGATTTGTGATAGGGTTCCAGGCTTAGCATGGAAAAAAGTTGGGAGCATTAAAAGGTTCATAGGTATTAGCATGGAGTCCTGTTTGAAATATACTTTGACCTTAATCCACAGTTTTAATTTATAGTCGGTTCATGGCGCCACAATGAAGCACACTAAGCAAAAAAAAAAAGGGTATGGGAGAGCAAAAAGGTGCTTATAACTAAAACTTAAACTGCCCCAACCTCAACTTAAAACGGCAACAGAACTAACGTTGCTAAAGGTGGGATTCAGTCAATAAAACAGGATTTTCGGCAAAGAATTTAGCATAATTTACTCCCAGAGAAACCAATTTAGAAAGATTTGCTTTGTCCTTCACATTAGAATGGACAGAGAGCAACACATATAGAAAAGGTAGTTTGTTGTTCAAGGATGTGGGGTGCAGTTAATTTTGGGAGGAAATAGTTGTGATTATTATATACAGATAATTTATATCCTGCAGATTGCAGAAGAGAACGAACAAAAACTTCGATTGTAACTTATTAAAAATGAAAAATCTTTAGCAGGGGTTTAGAGGTCATCTTTTTTTAATGCTGCAATTTAAACTGTGCTGAAAAAGCCTTTTTGTAAGTTAAAGTTTGAGGAAATTGTGAAACATCAACAGCTGGCTATGTGTATGAGAACATCGCGTCATAAAAGCTCTGATTCTGCAGCCTGTGACGGTGCTGAAACTGTCTTGCCATAAACGAATGACCTTCTTGGGGAAGCCAACGTGAAAATGTTATTATACATACCATGGTGCTACAATACTGCTCAACAAAGTTAGTGTGCACTCGGTGGGTATCACACAATTATGGCTTTTTAGTATTAAAATCTTAACTCTCTAGTAAAACCGGCAACCTAAAACTAAATCTGTCGTTTTAGCACATCTCTACGGGGACCCTCTATTTATATTTCAGTTTTTTTTGCACTGCTTCCTCAACAGCTAATTCATAATTAGAACTATTTTCACCTTTATGTCGATGGCACAGTTTTACTTGGGCCATGACCAAGCATAAATATGCTTTGGCCAGTGCTGTTTCTAGGACACCCATTACTGCTGCTGTTCAAGGCCAAAAAAATATTGAGATCTTCATTCTGCAACTAGCTACGATAACAGAATCTCCTGATTTCTAATCCTTACTTTTTCCA